TTGTGTTCACAGCAATTGCCACGTAGGCCTGCTTTCGCTAATAAAAGTTTTCTATTGTGCCATCTCTAATATTAGATCTAAATTTAGTCCTCGTTTTTGCAACAACACTGAGAATCCTCTCACACTCTGCATTACTATAGGGAACTGTCAAGATGGCCAACACAATTCTAGACAGTTCACTATATTTTAAAATTCCATCAGCACCTTTCAGTTTTGCAATTAAACTCCACTGGGTGTCAATCGTAGCTGATTTTATAACTTCATCCAAGTTTTCTAATTGTAAACTGCTGTTATGCAGCTGTTGGAACTGTTTTCAATTTTTTTCTTCCTTTTAGAACTCCTTTCAAGATAATAATAAATATCAACAATGTGTTCATCCACATTTATTGGTAAAGAAGTTGCCCCTTTTTCAGCTGCTAAATTTAAGAGGTGACAGGTGCACCTCATAATCTGAAAATCTGAATTTTCCTTTCTTAAGATGCCTGCAACACCAGCCTTCCAAGCCTACCAATACTGGTGCATTATCGGCACCAAGTGCTAAGCAATTATCCAAAGTGCCTGCAGTTTTCTTTTAAAGTTTTAATAATTAGCTGTGCTATATTAAAGCCTTCTAAAGTGGAACATAAAGTAAACTGCACTCAATTTCTGAAGACTCTGGATCAAAAAAAGAAACAATCGGATACAGTTTTGAATCGGTATTATTGCTTCCATCAGTAGAGAGGCAGACCGGAGCTGTTTTAATGCAATCAATAACTGAAGATTTATTTTTCAAACCCATTTCTTTAACAATTGCACCTGTTTTGATTCTTGCACCTTGAGTATTTCTTAGCGATTTCATCATCGGGAAACATTTTTCTAAATAAAGCTGCAGCGTGATCCGATGCATTCAGTGGCAGGTTGTGCTCCAGTAAAAAGGCAAAGAAGAGACATTCTGCATTAATAACTTTTTGGTCCTTTGTTTCCGAAGAAAAATTTAATTTTTCGTTTTTTTCAAAACAACTCATGTTATCCTTGTGTTTTTGTGTACGCACATGTTTGAGAACATCCGCCCTTCCAACATACGAAATCGAAAAATCGCAACGACAGGCGGTACACATCGCAAATTTATTACATTTCCTTGAGGAAATAATGGAAGGAAAGTCAACTGTGTACGATTTTTGAAACGTACACGAGTATTTCACCTTTCCTCGCAGACGTAACAAAAGATGATAATTTCTAAAACTATTTCCCTGAGGCACGTGTACTCACACAACTCAGGACAAAATGAAACGAAATAAACTAAAAAGAAACGTCCAAATACAACTTGCTTTGTCCTCATTTGCTAATATATGCCAGCTGACACGCAGTGGAGCTCGAAGCCCATTGGAGAACTGGAGAATGACGTTTCTGGATACGTATAATGCTCTCACTCACAAAGCAGAAGCTATCTGATTTGCAAGGTTTTGTTTTAGATATAATGTAGAGAAAATTCAATTGCTTTCAGACGTCCAAAAGCACTTTTTTTATTCATGTAACAAAGTATTAAGCCAAGTTGCATAAAAATCGTGAGAAATTTTAAGAATAAGAAAAAGTCGGGAGAAAATATATTGTAAATCGGGTTGGCGGGAGAGCGGTCGAAAATCGGGAGAGTTGGCAACTCTGTAATGGGATTCCTGGACCCATAACCTGTTGTTAGGGGTTTGTTAAAAAAGTGATGGCCACACAGTAGTATTTTTGCATGCCAAAGGGAAATTACTGGATGTAAATAATAAAGGTTTTAATGGTTACATTCCTGATTTAACAGAACAGATGAACAAAGCATGGCATCCTATGACATGTAAAAAGCAATATGAGAAAACAGGAAATAACTTGGCATAACTTCTGTATCATATCCACTGTAAAGTACTTGACTACGAGTCAACACGTTGCTTCATAGTAGATTCATCATGGACTGGAATCTCACACTCTACAGGACCATTACCATTCCTCTATTCGAAAGCTAAATCCATGTCAAGATTCCATACATCGTACCACAACGAATAGAACCACAGCTACAGACAAGACAATATGTAGCTCTGCCTTCTATACATGGTATTAAATAGCATTGCACATCTCGTCAGTTTCAGCATTGCACAGATACAAGGGGAAATGCAAATTTCACAAAAGTTATAAATTGTTCATAAATGAACTTTTGCATTACAGATATTACAACCTGTTCATAAACACACTTTTGCATATTCCTAAATAAAATGCTGTGTATAGGCTATTTATATGTTACTATTTATTTTATATTAAATTAGTTAAATTCTATTGCTGTTCTTTTTAAGCTATTGAAACTTAAGCTATTATTTTTAAGGCTAGTGAAACTGGTACGGTCAAATGAGCCACATTAAATGGCACCGCCTGTAGTTCCAAACTTTGTCACTAATTTTACCACTGAAAAGCCTATTGCTAAGCTTGGAATAGCTTAATTTTCATACATTTACAAATTACATACACTATATTGTTTTTTAAAAAAATAATTTTGCAGGATATGTAAAAGCAGGCAATACAGAACAGAATTTCAAAATAATGTGCATTATGCATCGATACAGTTAGCAGTTAGCATCCTGTGCGACAGACCTCAAGCAATTACCCCCTCCCACACACAAATCATATATTTTGTTTGGTACTTTGATTATTCACTGTACCATACAACTGTTACTTAATTATTGATTATCATCGATTTTGCTTTTTCTAACGCTAGTATCCATTATACCCCATGATCTGTGGAAGTTCCAATGAATTTGAATGAATACTTTTCTTTATACTCACAATTTTTAATTTTCTTGCTCAACATTTGGTCACAAATGCAATTGTTCTGCTTTGTATCTATATCTTACGGGTTGTTTTACACTTAATATTACACACCGCTAGTTAAACTCACTGGTTAATAATAATAAACTCAGCCACTTGTTATTTTCAAATTTCCACAAACCAAAACAAATGCACAGAAAAAATGCCGTTTATTAAAATCATCTCCACTGCTTATACGACACAAATTGGCAAGAGATCGATTCTTGAGTGCCAGCATATCTTACTTGTACCTATAAAAGCCTTTTGTAGTTTATCCATTTTGTAATTTATCCATTTTTGTAGTTTATTCATTGCAGACCATGGCTTTATTGTTCAGGTATGTGGTGCTTCAATAAAATATGTTCGACTCAAAATTTTCCTACCAGCAGTCCTTGTATCTGTAAGATACTTCTTTGCCTGCATTGGATTTCAGAGGGTCAAGAATTTCCACATCTTAAGGTTAACAAAACAATGCTTTAGAATCATTACACATGAACGATGGTTCCTTCTCGAATACCAGCTAATAGGAGGTGGAAGTACTACTTCTGTATCCCATCTTTTAAAGTTTTGACATTCAAAATTGCCCCTTTGTGATAGATACATTATATTTACAGAGTCACTAATTTTACCATAAAAAAGTTCATGAAATGCTTCTAAGCATTACCTTTGAATGAAAAGGAACTGGTAACAAAAGGAAGGAAAGCATTGGTCATACTTGTAATCATGAATTAGCAAATAAACTTATAAGGACAAAGGGCAATCTTTCTGTGGCTAGAAGTATAAATTTTGAAATCTGATTAAACCACTGGCAGATGTATTTTTCCAACTTTTTGTTTGCTTAACATAACATATAACATGCCAAAATATGAAGCAAAAAGACTTAAGCCACAAATTCTAACATTCAGCTTTAATTTTAGAGTATTATAAAGGCTTTCAAATGTCATTGCAGAAAATACATTCAGTAAATGAAGGATAAAATTGAATTTTGTGAAAATGCAAGCACTTTGAAGAAGTAAGTCGATATCTCTGCTAGAAGCCATGCATTTTATAGTCAATGTAGGGGCTAATCTCTTAAAATTAGTGAAAAGCTGTTTTAAAAAGTGTGGCTTTTATGTAGAAGAAGCCTGGTACAAATGGCAAATTATAGCTAATATTTCAGACATCAGTGAGGCAAGTTATGAAGATTTGATTTTAGATTCTGCATCAATTCACAATAATATTGAGACAACATATATATAAAAACTGACTATGAGAAAGTTAAAAGAACTGCAGAAACTGACAGCAAAAGTGATGACATGCTGTCATCAATTAAGTCTAGAAAAGCCCCGCAGATTTTAAGAAAAATTCTTGAACTGAAAGTTGCTGATCAAAAAAGCTATCAGCAGTTTAATGAAATTGATAAAACAGTTGCTGAACAACAGAAGCAAACACAGATAAAATACAGTACAAGTCCGTAATCCGGACGTCCATCATCCGGAATGATCTATAAACAGGACCTCAAGGCCACAAACTTACGCATGCGCGTTTCATGCGCACGTCCACTACGCATGCGTGTAATGCATTTCCCCATGTGTGCTTCTGATAGTGAAGAAAGTAACAGAGAACATAATTGAAAATGAAAAAATTTCGATTGACAAGTTAGTCGGTATTCTCGACACAGCAATTACAGGACTTGAACAGTGGAACTTTGTAACTGAACAAGAAATTATGCCTGTTTATAGAATTAAAGAGAAAGTATTAGCACAAACACAGAGCAACTTAAACAACTTACATCGAAAGAAATGTTTACTAAAGTAAACAAATAAATATTAAGCTTTTTTTTTTTTTTTTTTTTTGTAAATTTTGATACCCTTTAGATCAAAATTGCTCTTTATTTTATAAATTATGGTGTCATATTTTTAATTGTATAATTTTTGCATATCATCTTACCACATTTAAATTGATGATCCCTAATCCGGAATCGCCGAAGTCCCGACGAGTCCGGATTACAGACTTTGTACTGTAGTTGTTTGTAAGAGAGAAAATTTTATCAAAAATATTTATAAAAAATTTTACAAAGAATATAAAAATTAGTAAACAGTTTAATTTTAGTATCTAACCTACTTTAGAGGTTTTTATAACAGTATATTTTAAAGACTTGTTTAATGTGCATGTAATTAAAAGCAGCCATGAATAACTACAGTGCAGAGAATAAAATAAGATTTTATATGGTTTTTTTATTACACCAGGAAAAGAAATTTATCTAACAAGGTATAAAATGGTACAAAAATAACATCTAATATTATTAAAATGATTTTATAAAACAAATTTAAAACCTTGTATAAGAAATATGTATATACACTTTAACCACATGCTAAATTTTCAAATGAAATCCCGTCAAACAGTGTACAATAAAATAACATGAACAAACCAGTCTTAACAGTGTCTAAGGTAATTTCTATGATATCATATAATATCAGACATAAAATAACTTAGAATTTCAGTACCATTTAAATTCAGATAAGAAAAATGTAACTGAAGCAGATTTCACATTTAACATGAACAGAAAAATGTTAATTTGCATACAGAATAAATATCCCACAATACTAATTTCATTAAAATATATTTTAAATTTTAATATCCAAGTGACAGTACACCTACTTATTTTATTACTGAGTGAAATACTCAGATTCAGTTTTTCTTCAGAAACCAGGTTTAACAAAATGCTTTTTGGGAAAGTTCCCACCATATAACTGATAAAAATTCAGGTTAATGAATTTCATAAATAAATACTATAAAAATTTTCATTTCTACTAAAGGCTATTTTATACACTTTCTTTTGTTTTAGGACACCATAAAATGTACACTGAATAAACACTAACAATTTTATCTTAAAAAAAGAGCAATAATTAATTTTAATTAGAAAGAGCTTATAGCACACATATTTATATGAAAGGCTTGTGTGTACCTGTTTGTAATAGCCTGCAATTAACATTTTTTCAAAAAACTTTATACAGTTGTTTACTTATGAATTTAGCTCTTCACAATGCATGTTAATACATAAATTAAAGCTCCAGAACAAGCTGCAAAATCGTTTTACATATGATTATGAATTTTCTTCATAAAGTTACGTGAAATGCATTACATAACATTTCATGTACTACATAAAAGTATATGAAAACATAAGAACAATAAAAATATATTATGAAACACATTTGCACAAGACATCAAAAATAACAATGAAAGGTGATAATAAACTAAACTACACTTAAATAACACAAGACAAATACATTTAACAGAAATAATGTGACTAGTGTGAATCCTTATAAGTGCTTATTTCTCTGGCAGTATGACGTAAACTGGATTATTATATTAAACAACAGAAAAGCACTCAAAAAATTCATTCTCTCTCTGCATTGATAAGTTTATCATTAACCAATGTAGAATTTCTCCATCTCAAAACTCTTCTTACCAAGTCAATAGTATCACGAATTACAATCTTGATGACACATAAAAGAGTTAAAATAGTCTGAAATGATAAATTCGAAAAAAGTTTTAAAAAATATGCAGTATATATTATCAGATTTACAAGTAATTAACACTCATGAAATAAATCACATAATATGAGTTTATTTTAAAGGTGAAATAAATAACATATCAACCTGCAAACATATGTATAACTAAATACTATTTGTATAAAAATGAATTGCATGGAGAAATAATTATTTTCCCTTCTGGGCAGATGGGAAATTTTAGTTTAAATTTTCATTAATTACTGTAAAACTGCTTGAGGCAATAAATGCCATGACATGCCACATTTCTGAAAATGGAAGTAAAAATATTTTCATCTCACATGAATAATTTACGGAAGGGGATCAGGAAAGGCAACACATATATACACTGCATATATTTAAAATTACACAAATTTTAATTTTAGATTGGCATGGATTTTGAACAAAACTATCAGAGATTAATAAAATGCAAGTTCTCTTCAGATTAAAAAAAACTTCTGAAATTTTTTTTGAAAATTCTGCCAAAAACTTGATGAACAGCTAAATTTTTCTTAAACTTTGGGATAATGAATATTACACAAAAGGTTGTAGTCTTCATTTATAAGCGATGTCTGTATATTTGAAATGCCAACTTGTACAATGGCGGGCAACTAATTTATGTTACTATTTTTAATCTGTTATTTAGGGAAGGAGTATACTTCATTTATTGTGCATGATTTTCATACAGCAATTTCATTTTCGCTAACAGTGACAAAAGTATTTCCTTTCTAAGGATAGAAACATAGAATTTCATTAAAATTTTATGTCAATTTTTTATCAAATTTCCATGTTTATATATGACTGAGAACTCAACCATACTGAAATACTTAAAACTTGTATCTCACTGATACTATATTATTACACATGCATCATAATAAATTTATATTTTCCTTGTTGCTAACAAGTAGTTATAGGTCCTTTCGCCCCAATTTAGCATTGATAAAGTTCTGCAAACCATAACAGAATAACACGTCTCTGTTATTAGAATGTATTTGGGTTGAGAAATTTCTCTCTTCAAATAAACAGGAAGAGTATGTGAACCCAACTCATAAAAATTATGGTATTGCCAATAACAATCTTATCCAAAGATATGATGTGGCAAAAAACAATCATTTTCATTACTGCTGAAAGGTACAAAAAGTACAGCAATTTCTCCTCCTGTACTTCATCAACTTGCGATCTGACCATACTTCATATTATGCACAGCTTCTAGGATTTTAACATTCCATTTTTTCCCCTCTAAAGAGTGTTAATGCAGAAATGAAACTTGCTGCACTTTACCTGAAGTTAGGGAGAAATAAAAATTTTCAGTGATGCAGTAAATCCTAAATGGCTTGGGAACCTAGCTATGTTGATAAGAACAAATTCAAATAATCCTTATATTTCTACTATGTACAAAACGATGTACATGAGTCTGCCAATTCAAATTTATCTAGGAACATGCTCTACGAAACAGACAGTCTGGTGCTACAAGTTGTGACCAGCAGAATTATGATGCTTCAGGAGCTGAAGAGTTTACAAAAGTTTTGTGCAGATATGATACAGGAAAGCTTATGTTTATTGCTATTCTACATTCAAAAAATTCTCAGGTATCTAATTCAGCATGTTATAAAAATGACTACCTAGATTTTAGATAGCTTTATCTTCTTTCTACATATTCAATTTGAAGAAGCATAAAACACAAATAAAATTTAATGTTTAATACGATGAAATGAATTCTACCAACAATGTAAGACATTTATGTGTACTGTTGCAAATCCGAATAAAAAATTAATAAGAAAACATTGTAAAATGATTTTAAGATAGAAAATACAGCTTATATATTTAAATTATCTGTTAATATTATACTTACCATAATAATGAACAGATAAAATACTGATTTCCATCCAAAGCGTTTCATTACTACTGGCACTAATATCTGGAAAACAATATTTTGAAAAATGTAAAAAAAGGGTCTTCAACATTATCATTAATATATTAGATAAACTATAGACTGTGCTTTTTAGTACTAGTACATGCATTTAAAAATAACTAGTATAATAATGTATGCTCTAACATACAAAATGTTACAAAAACTAAACAATGAAAAAGATAAAAATATTATTTTTATTTTTATAAATATACATTAGTCAAATTTTTTAATATCAGTATCTGAATCAGATAGGCATTCCCTATTTCACCAATAAACAACATTGTCATCCACCTTGTAGACAATATCTTCAATTTCACCCATATTCAACAAAAGCTATAACTTCCATTTTAAAATTAGCAAAATACACAGCTCTTTTTTATCCAGACATCTGTTACTATAAAGAAAAAAAACAAAGTGCAGTACTTTACTTATAACAGCAAAGGGGTAGCTGAGCATGAAAAAATTTGTGACTGCTTCAAATGGTTACTATAGCTAAAAACTAAAGTAAAATCTGTCATACTTTCACCAAAACATCAAATGCTGTGCCTGCCCAAAAGCTGAGATAATTTACAAAGAAATAAATGGCACTAAAAATGCTGTTCTTTCTACAGTGCTCTCACCACTATTTTTTAAATGAAAGCTGCAGCTGAATAGGTACTTACTCTCAGGTCCTTTAGCAAAATCAGATGCTCAGGCTTAATCAGAAAACTTGGATTTATAAGGTGATTTTACATTTTGCACACAGATGTTTTTCAGTTTTGCTTGAACTTTTGCTCAGTACTGAATGCTATTAGCTCTATTGTTATTGCAAAGATCTGCTTATGTTATTGTCCTCAAATCAAATCCCAATTTTACAACATCTAGCATCAAATCAGGATTGATCTGAACTGCCAGCACTATTTTACTGATATTTTTAGTATTTTTAACACTATTTCATATTAAATAAAAATCTATATATGAAAAATATTTTTAAGGGACTGATGTAAAAAAGGAATTTGATATAAAAGTTTTGTGTAACAAACTTTTTATTTTTTGCTCTACCGTTTACTCTTATGCCACAGAGTGGAATCTTCTAAAGTGAATTTGTAAGGATCCTAAGTTTTACTAACGTTTATTTTATTTTAAAACTGTACTATCACTTCTTATTTTCTACTTCCGGACAGAATTAAATGCTTTAACTTGTTTATGCAAATTGTCTTGCTAATGCCAAGTACTTAAGCTGTGGCTTTTTGCCAAGAAACAGAGAGAAGGAGTTTTAGGAAGCAAGCCGCTGGCCACTGTATTTTTAAAGTTTTCACTCAGTTGCTGGTTGCCTTTAAGGCCAGAGGTTTAGCCCTCTTGATATTTGCAGACGTATCGTAGTTTTAGCAGCTTGGCGTATTACATACATACCTTTTTTAAATAAAGGCCAGTCTTAGTGCTAGGCATTTGTATACTAATTTAAAGTTAGCTTTTAGTTAGAGTTTTAGTTAGTAGTTTTTATATTCTTACTTTCATATCACAAGTGGTTGGTCTCTGTATTCCGAAGTTCGGAAATACCTGTAAAGTATTGAAAATAAGGGGTTTCGTATACCCTTCCTGCTTGTGTTGTCTACTTTCACACCTTCTTGAACATAGCTTGAGTAAGCTCCCTGTTCCTATTCAGGATCATTTGTTTCCAAAGCAAATCAAGAGAAACACAAGTCCTGACAAATTTTAAATTCAACAAGAGTATCAGTATAAGTGGTCAGAGGACAAATTACAAAATCACATACAAGTTCAAATGCGGATGGAATTTTGCTCAAATTTCTCTATAGTGCCATTCAAGTATGATTATGCTGGAACAAAATATTAAAAAAATTTCTTCACAGTTATCGAAGATAATTTGAGTGCCCAATTGCACAAATAACTGAATTTTTAAAGTAGGGTTAAAGATTACACACTATTCTACTAGTCTTTATGATTATGATTTTCTATTTATATAAAAATTTTTTGTGTCTACTTATAATAACTGCTTTCTTTGTACCACTTACATATAAAAAAATTAGAAATAGCTTTGTGTTGTACATCATTTAATACCTTGTGTTATGTAATTTTGCAAAAATTAATGATTAATAAATTGGAGGATATCTAAGAATTTTACATCTTATTTTTTCATATATGGAACACACAAATTATGCAGATATTTGTCTATAAACAGGGGTCAGCTAGATATTTACAGCTTTACCCAGGGTTTTGCTAACATTTGACTCCAGTAAGATAGGATTAGGTGTACTTTACAGATTTAGTTGCTACGAAAATAACAGCTTACATCATAAAATATCACACTGACAAAGAGCTGATACCACAAAACTCAGATTGGTGAATAAAATAAAATGGGATTGTTGGAGAACATCTTACATGCAGAAAAGCATATACAAAAAGATTTGAATTCATTCCTCTCAATTTTCATGATAAAAGTACATTGCCATGCCTCTATATCTTATCGATAGAGAAAAGAGACAAAAAATTAATTTTTAAAAAATAAATAATTTACAGGTAACAAAATATGCATGAACTAAAAACAGACAGTAACATGATGAAATAAAGCAGACTAAACATGCCTATTACTGTCTTCACAAGGAAATTCCAATCATCAAAGGAAATCTGCATGCATTGCCATGCCCCTATATCTTATCGACAGAGAAAAGAGACAAAAAAATAATTTTTAAAAAATAAATAATTTACAGGTAACAAAATATGCATGAACTAAAAACAGACTGTAACATGATGAAATAAAGCAGACTAAACATGCCTATTACTATCTTCCCAAGGATATTCCAATCATCAAAGGAAATCTGCATGCATGATTCAGATCTGTTAAGTACTTAGGAAATGTTTTGAATGAAAACATGATTTTCATTGTTGTCACCTGTTAAAGGAATACCATACTATCCTTAGTACAGGATTAGATTAAAATGCAAGGATCCCTCACCTTCATATGCATGAGAGAAAGTACACTGCAAATGTACAAAGCAGCATACAGCATATTTTATTCTCTCCTTATCTAATCGTAATATTTCATTTCACTCAGTTAAATTTCATCTTATTTATATAAATTACATGAATAACACATTATATATATATAACATGAATTACTAAATTATGAATGGTGATATTTTACTATTGATGCAACAATGCCAGATGTTGGAACATATTACCTACAGACACAAGAAGCACCACAACCCTGATATTCATTTATTGTGCCCCCCCCATATCTGTTAATTTTGTATCCATCATTTCACTTACCTGCAGTTTACGGAGGACTAAAATAAATTTAAGTTTTGGGATGCACATTTACATAACTGAATGACTTTAACATAACTGAAACATAATAGCTTAAATATAGTTACTTATCCCTATTATCTTTCCACGGAATCACAATTGCATGTTTACTTTGGAATGATGTAACTATATATAAATGGCGAGAATAAGCTCTAAAGAACTAATTATCTCGTACATTTGTTTAAATAATCTCGTACATTGGTTTCTGTGAAACCAATGTGTGTTTCACCATGAAACTTTTACATATACTAGCAGAAGGCTGTAGCTATGAATGGTCCAAGATTATTTGATTTTGTTCTTCTTTGTTTCCATATCCACATTTTCCCATTAAATTTGTCCCTTCTCAATCTCAGGATTCTTCTTAATTTTTATTAATACTGTGTACATCTTATTTTTCATTCCCCAGAAGAAAACAATGAAATGGTTTTTCTACAGTCCCTTTAACCACTGCATTCTGCACTCTAGAGTCACTAGATCTTCATTTCTCAGTCTCTTAGACAGCATAATCTACCAATTAAACTTAACCTTTACTTTTTATGTTTGTAAAGAAATATTTGTTTTATACAGCTTTCTTGTTTATATATTGCAGATCTTGTAACTTATCACATGTATATACAAAATCACTGCTGTATTTAAACAGAAAAGACAGTTTGTTTAGAATTATTACTTGTCCGATAGCAGCTCCAACACTGCCAGTGCCATCAATGATGCCAGTTACAGTAGAAAGAGCTTCTTTACTGTTAGCAAGCTCGGTATGCCTTCCTAAATCGGCAGAAACAGCTGTACTAATAAGGCTTGACACACCTCCTATCACTGTGCCAGTAAGAGTCATTAGGGCAGCATTTTCTACCAGATTTGAAGAAGCCCCTAATAATTAAAATGCAAAATGTGAGTACAAATATGATGGATCATAGCAATACAGGAAGACATAGTACCCAATATTTTTTAAATATAATTATGCAAAAACATACAGATTCTGTCAAAAATAAAACAAATTTGGGCAACATGAAAAACATTGGGCATAATCGAGTAGCCACAGAGAACTTTAAATTAAAATATTTTAAGACATAAAGAAATACATTATAATAATATTTTGCAACTAAAAAACTTTCATTCGCACAATAAGATTAATTTATATCAGACAACATTTCACAAAAAAAAAAAAAACTTGTTTGCATTTAGCAACTATAGTACAAAGTCCGAAATCCGGGTGTCCATTATCTGGAATGATCTAAAATCTGGACCTCAAAGCCACAAACTTTTAATTTATTTGCTTTTATGCATGCACATTTGATTTTTCCTTCCATAGTAAAACATGTGGAGATTTTCACTTAAAAATTCCGATTCTTAATTTCCCTTAGGCAATAAATAAAATACCTCATTATGGAAAAACAATCATGTAAGCATAAATTTGAGAGATTAATAATCTTGCTCCGTAGCTGAGTATCTGCTTGGCATACATCTCCAAATCGAAACATTCACATATTTTATATCCCTGACGCCGACCTGGCGAGTCATTATTTATTATATTTTGCTTTCATCACTGCATGTTTATCAATACATGATAGCTTCAGTAATAACTCATGCAGTGATGTCTAAACTTTTCTTTTATATTAGTAATTGAATAACAAGAGTATGGCAACCTTTTATGCTAACATTATGCTTGGTGATGATTATAGATTTTTAAATGCTCCAAGAAATGTTGACAAAGAAAAATTCAACAAAAATTTCTTTTCATATGCTAAAAATAGATTTTGTTAATGACACTTATAGGCCAAAAGATTACATTAAGTGCTATTTTCATTAAGAATAAGATATGTTATTCACCATAAACCCAGAAGCGGCGACAGAATATGACTGCACAGGACGGCAGAATTTAGGGAAGACAAAATTTTTGGAATTTGGGGAAGCCCCGAGCGGCAAAATTAAGGGATGAGAAGTTTTTTATGATTTAGGGAAAGCACTGGGATACAAAGTTTAATTGCGGTGAAAATTTAGAACTTAGGAAGGTGCTTTGTAGCAGAATTTAGGACCCGTAGCGACTGCACCAGGAGGTATTTACCGCCAGCCCTAGATAAAGCATTAAGTATATGTGAGAATTTATTTATTCAGGACTTAGATTAGTTTTAAGCATATAGAAGAAATAAATGTAGGTAAATAACTAAACTAATACAATTCAGGCTTAATTCAGTACGCAATAGGAGCAAGACAAAATTTAGCAAAACATCTTGGCTTTCGTCGCCAATCTTGTGATACATGCCCAATAATGTATAACAGATGCGCTATTAAGCTAGACTAAAATTATCTTTACTGATTCTAAGGCATTTCAGTTAATGTAGAGGACTGCGCTGCTCCCTAATCTAGTTTAATCCAGCTTATTATTTTTTGCAGACTTATTATTACGGCAATTTTATAAAAACTAAGCTTGAACTTTTGATTATGTCGAAAAGAGTTTCCAATTCTGGAGCTGCCAAAGGATCTACAAAGCGAAACCATGTTTTGATGTCCATTCAACAAAAAGTGGAATTGCTGCAAAAAATGGATAAAGGCATATCAGTCTCAAAATTATGTGAAAAGTATGGCATTGGAAAGTCAACTGTATATGACATAAGAAAAAAGAAAAAGGAACTTTTTGAATTTTTTGTGGAGAAGCAACTTACACAAAGAAATGTTTAATAAAGTAAAAATATTAAGCCTTTTTTTTTGGAAATTTTGATACCCTTTAGATCATAATTGTTCTCTATTTCATAAATTACATTTCATATTTTTAATTGTATAATTTCTGCATGCCATCTTAACAGATTTGAATTGATGATCTAATATCCAGAAAAATCCCAAATACGGAATCGCCGAAGTCCTGACGAGTCCGGATTTTGGACTTTGTACTGAGTTTTCACGAAACATGTAACAGGTTATATTTCCAAAACTATTAATTCTATGTATGGACTTCCAATAAAAAAGTTTTTAAGTAGTAAAATTTATGAAAAGAATTTTGCAACAGCATTAGAACAGTTTCCATAATATAAAGTCTAAAATTTTATATGACACCTGTAAAGTAAGAAGCATAGTAAAATATTCATTATACTTTAATGAATTAAATAAAGAACACCGCATACCTTTATGAGCAAAGTTCAGTAATACAAATACAATTAATAATTTCTCTTGGCTATCTGCAAAGTCAATAACTAATGCTATTTTATTCACTAGTTTTATTAATCACCATTCTGTTCAATAGCTGTTCCTTGATTTTTAAGGAAAACTTGGTAAACTACTTAAATCACCGAAAAGATGCAAGTCTAAGTCAACAAGTTTATATTCTTTATGAATTTTAAATGCAGTGGAATGAAATTTTCTGCATTTAGTTTATTGAAACATAATAAAAAATTCTCTAATACTTTTGCTCTAGCGTAATGATATTCAAACTATGGGCTTCAACTCCGTTTGGTAAAGGAAGGTGGATAAAAACTCTAAAAAAATCTGAATTGATGGTATATAACTAAGACTCGACATTCTGATTGGAGTCCCAAAATTGTTTTCTGGGATTCGTTTGAATTTTTATGGGGTTGCACTGTCATTAAGTTTGAATATCACTGCTTTAATGAGTAATGTATGAACTTAAAATTTTGTTTTTTCAAAACCATTCTATTCATAGTGCAGAAAATGTTCTTCTAAAATTCACTACTGTATTTACAGAAACTCTATAACAACATTCACATGCTTAGGATGAGTACAAATAAAGCCATTACTTAAACCATTAAAGTTAACTAATAAATGGCGTGCCTGTAAAAAATGAGTTAAACTGCATTCTTCCACTATGTTACTTTTGCATTCAATAGCTTAGATGTGAAAAATATGATTTTGGAGACATCAATACACTTTTCATAAAAAAAAAATATTTTACTGATTTTTTGGGGGGAGGGTCATTTTTTAAATGTGATGGCTAAGTAAATAACAGTACTTCACAGACACTTGTGCATACTTAAAGAATGCATAAAACTAGAAATATCTACATAATTTAAAACATTTCACAAAATAAAAAGCACCAGCAAATTTACTAAATGTACTCTTTCAATTTTACTTGTGCAACCCAAATCTGTTGATTATTTCTCCATATTTATTTTTCTTTTCAAACATGTGATGCAATGAATATCCATACACACATACTACATCTTTTAAAGTACGCATACACAGCTTTTAAAGTACTTTGACAATTGTTAGCAAGAAGTGCAAAATACATAACGTACTTACCATCAAAGTTTGCAATAATATTTATAGTTTAATAAATTATAACCAATGAATAACCTTTTGTTATAAACTAGTGTGCAGTATTAAAAGTTCATATACTTGCCACTATAAACAAATAAAACTACTGGAGATAACAAGAGCATGATTCCAACCACTGGAGATCGAGTTTCTAAACGATCCTAGAAAAAAATGCAATCCATTTATTAACTGCTATGTTTAGAAAAGTAAGCTTAAGACAGTAAAAATACGGAACTTACTGATAAATATCCTATAAGAATACCACCTAGAAAAAAGAATATCAAAGCAATAAATTTCACACTGTTTAGAAACTTATTTAAAAACATTTATATTTAAATGAAAACTAGTCTTATGTATCAATATTCAGATATGTTCTTATATATTAAAAAAAACAAACTACTCAAGTTGTTACATGCATTATCAGTTCTATAAAAAAGAATGCAATGGATTTGAAACATATTTCAATGCTTTAAGATGTTCTCTGATTAGACTGACTCCTTATGACTATAACAGATCTTGCAATAGCTATCTGCCATAGGTGAAGGCTATCTTCGCCAAAGATATTCTAAAAAATAAGATAAAAAAAAATATGCTTGTATTTGCATTTTAAATGATAAAAATTATAAAAATCCCATGCAGCCAGCCAGTTCAGTTATTGGGAACTAAAAGTAGGATAAGTTGCTTCATTTGAATGAATAACACTTCACTGCGATTAATAATTCTACACAATGCCACTAACAATTTATAACAACACTCACAAAGTTTACTCTAAAAGGAAAATGAATTACTTTAAATTTGCTCAAATACAGCTTAAGTACATCAAAAACTTGCAGTGTTCACAAAATTTCATATATATATATAGCAGCTTAATGATTATAATAGATTTTAAAAAATTGTACTGTTATTATATATATATATAATTACAATACAATTTTGTACAATTACAATACAATATATATAACGTACACACACATGTATACACAATATAATTCTCAAATTGAGGGAGTTTTTTGTCGGTCCTATATAAATAAGATTACACTCTTTTCATGCGGTCTGGTAAATACAGTTAAAAGGTTTTCCGGTGTCTGTTGATGTTGTTCATTAGTAGGTAAAAATGTGGCATTGAATCTGCAACATTTTCAAAGCACATTGCTTCAACAATACAATAATATATATTTGGAGGTACTTCTTATCAATTTTTTCCACAAAAGGTTAGTTTTCTTTCCAAAAAACATACTGCAAAGTAAGCTAGCTCCCTCTGCTTTTATAACAAGTTCAGTTAAAAAGAATAAAAATTATACAATGAAGCATTGTGCTTTGAAAATGTTGCAGATTAAATTCCACACTTTCACCTACTAATGAACATCAACAGACACTATGAAAAACCTTTAACTGTATTTACCAGATTACACAAAAAGAATGTAATCTACTTTAGACAGACAAAAAACTCCCTCAATCTGAGAATTAATAATCATAGGTTGCATATAAAAAGATTTAAAAATTTAAGTACTGAAAATATCAAAGAACAAAACAACACCGCTATTCTAGAACATTTTCAATACCACAATTTTGAAAATATTGAAATAGCTATTTTGGATATTATTCCTAATGCAAAGTTGAGACTCTTTACAGAACTGATTTACATTCTACAAAAAAGAGCACTGTTCAGATTCAACACCCATCTTAACAAAACTGCTAACAGCCATTAAAAGGACTGTTTATGAACATTTTAGATTTTTGAGTAGAACTATAAGAGGAAATAAAGAAGGAAATTCAGGAAATAGGAGATATTTTTCTGCTAATGAAGTAGGCAATATAGTTCAAAAGTTTACCTTATTCTTTCCAGAAACATCCTTCACCAAAAATATGATAAATTTGCTGCACACCTTCGAAAACAATACATTATGGAAAATTCTCAGCTTTGTTAAGGAAAATTACACTGGATACCAGATTGTGAAAGATTTAGCACTTGCTTTCTGTAATTATAAATTGAGAGAAAGTAGATTTTTCCACAAAAACATTTTTTATACTAATCAAAATCAAATCATTGGAAAGACTGAGGGAGGTCGAAATGTGACAAGTGTGGCTGCGGAGTTCAAGATTGCTCACAGTATCGTTTTACGACTTTGGAGAGCATTTCAAACTACAGGAACAGCTGCCCAATGGTTCAGCAGTGGTCATCCACAAGCAATCACAGCAGCGGACAACCAGTATATTGCCCTACACGAAAGGAACAGGTGGCAGACAGAAGGGGAAATCTCAAGACACATGGACTAGGCAACTGGATGACTAATATTCCATTTTATCATGGTCAGGAGGCTGCACAAGGGTGGTCTGTTTGAACGACTACCTGTACATTTATACCATTAACGACTTCTCATCAGAGTAGGCATTTTCTGTGGTACAGGAAATAGCAGAATTGCACAGACAATCAATGGAGTCGAGTACTCTTTTATGAATAAAAGCAGATTTAGTCTGAGTAGCTATTCTAGACACATACACATCTGGAGAGAGTGGGTAACATGCAACAACTTCTCCAACATCATCGAAAAGGACCACCTTGGAGGTCGCATTTCTCATTTGGATAGATATCATGCTTAGTAGCTGTACCAACCTTCACATCTTCCAAAGGAGGTTCAGTAACTAGGGCCCGCTATTGTAACAAGGTTCTCCTTCCTTACATGCATCTTTTCAGAGGTGCTATGGGTCCTCAGTTCCTTTTCACGGATGACAACACCCTACCTCATTACACAGTTGCTATCGAAGAGCTGTTGGAGAGTGAGGATATTGAACGCATGGATTGGCTGGCAAGGTCTCCTGGTCTAAATCCCATCAAGCATGTATGGGATCCATGGTAGTATGTAACTTAACACCAGTAATGATTCTGGAGCTGCAATTAGCACTACAAAGAGGAATGAGCAACAATGCCTCAACAAGTCATTGACAACCTCATACTCAGCATGGACAGACAATGTGAAGCTTGCACAGCAGTTAGGAAAGATCATATACCCTATTAAAGGATAGATGTTCCTTGCTGGACACATGCCACATGGATGTTTCGACCATCTATCGCATTATGCTCCATGCTACTTTTTCTATAAAGTTTCTTTTTATCCTTTTGATTTCTTTTCCTGGAAGTTTTGCTTACATTCCCCATGTTCTTACATCTTGGAAACCTTATGTTATTATTTATGTTAATTTGGAAAGCTTTTGCACAACGTTATATCGAAAAAAATAATCTTGTCCTTAAATTTGCACATCAGTGTACATATGAAATATTGAAATATTACACACACACATATAGGTCTTACGTCTCATTACTTGTTAGCTTTACAATTTCTGTTTCGATTATATATATATATATATATATACTGTACCCCTAAAGTCCTTACCTGTCCTTTCACAGCTGCTGGTCACAGACTTTGCTCAACCCTGTAGGGCACAGACATAACTTCCAATTACAAAAATGTTTTAAATGATGCAAATATTAACGTTTTGGCATTTAAAAAAATCACTTTCACAAAAATTACAAAATCTTAACTTTTTATATGTTCCCCAGTCCCTATAAAATAAAACACAAAAAATTTCAATACCACACAGCAAAAATTGACTGAGTTATTTAATTTCAAAATTTAAAATTTTTATTGCCATTTTCAATCTGTATTGAGGGGTTAGTTATTAAATAGAATAGTTCATGGCTGGTTTGCTCCCCCCTTAGCATATTAACTACTGACATGCATAAGGACCAATTTGAGCAGAGTGATTTGGAGGTTGAAGAAATTTATATTCCCATATAAAACAACAGAAAACGTGACTCACCAGAGGTACATGCAGCCATTAATGTGAACATTGCTGTGATCCACCAGTAGACCACAAAGCCCCAAAATCAGACCAATGATGATCCACAGTTAAAGTATTAAACGGCATTCAACAATATCCTTTTGTTATTTACTAATGTCTTTAATTTATAATTTTGTTACCTTTCGTGTGCCTAAAGAATTTCCACACAAATTTATAAGTTTCTGATGTCTAAAAGTGTACTATTAATATTCTCATGAAGCTTTATTAATTCAATATCATAATCTGTAATCACAAAAAATTCATTAAACTAGAAATATTTTTCATTTTTAATTAATGCAGATAATATTACGAGTTGGCTATATGCCAATAATGAAGCATGCCACAGTTTTCAAGTACACGTATTCTACATGGCTGTGAATAAGATTTCCATTCTGAAAAAAAAAAAAAATGCTGATCAATAGCTTTTACAATACTCTGCAGAGAAATCGCTTAACATAAACATTTTTCATAGCTGATATTTCACTTTTAATAGCATACAAATGCAAACATTTCATTTTTCAATTTGTGTATGGCCTTGAATATGATCTTTCACTTATCTTTGAATGCCAAATATCTTGGTCAATTTTTTAAATACATCTAATTTTTTACAATGCATACAAAATTTTCCTAAACATAAGGAGCAGAGGGTAAAGATTCTGCACTTTTGTAAAATTAATTTCTTTACAATACCAAAACATGAATATTCGCATCATTAAAAACATTTCTGTAACTCGAAGTGTACATCTATGACCAACTGGTTGAAAAAAATAGAGACCATGTAAGGATTTCCAGAGATACATATATGCCACAATATATATTTTTTACCATTATTTTCTAGTTCATACAGAAACATACAGATTTTTTCTGGATATGAGTATAGGGACTAGGGAATATCTAAAATGTTAAGATTTTGTATTTTACATAAAACTGATCCTTTAAAACTCTAAAATAAATATTTGCACCATTTAACACATTTTTATAATTCTAAGTATATGTCTATGACCAACAGTTGCAAATAAAGGCCAAGTAAGGACTTTTGTGGACACAGTATATATATTAACCTACATATCACCAAAAATTCACACACATTATGAATTCAAGTGACATCATTCTATGATTTCCGCTTCTCTGTGCATCTGACCTTAAGTTTGGTAAAAACATAACTATTTAGTGGAAAAATTACAGATTGAACAATTTACTTAGTTTATTTTTAAATTTGTACTTCCAATATTAGAAAGGTTTAGTGATAGCTACTATTTTGTAATTAGTCCAGTTGTATTACATTTCATGCTAATTTTAATTTAAAATATACTGACAAATATCACAGAAGTATTGTTTTTCCATATAATGCTGAATATTATTCAGTTTTCTTAAATTATTATTTCTAATGTTAAAAAAAAAAAAGCTATGAGTAATAACACAAGGTTTGACTTGGAGTATTGAAAACTCAAGTCTTTACACAAAATGCATAAAAATGTAGCAGTTGATGATGTTATGTGGTATGTGAAGAAGATTTGTTCATGTAGACCAAACAGAAAATACAGAATTATGCTGGTAAGGACCCAGACTTGAATCAGAAAATGAAGAGGTCCTTAAAGTAGTCAAGTCAGTAAAAACAAACAATATTAATTATAGAATGAAAATGCTATAAATTCATACTAAAAATAAAATTCTTTTGTTACATCAAGAAAACACTGAATGACAATGCAGTTTTGAATTGCAGAAAGCATTTCACATATAATAAAATCACACATTATTAAATTTTTCCTAACATTGTTTAAACAATAAAAAAGCTTTTTAGTTGTAACAAATAATGGAAAAATTGCTATAAAATTTTAGACTAAAGTATTTTCCCATAAAATGCTAAAAATGACAGTTGTTTTCGATCTATTCTTTAAAAAAAAATTGTCATGAAATTTCACCCAAATAAAAGTAAACAAAAACTTCCATATAAGGAGGTTTATTGATTGATTTTCAGAATAAATATCTAATTAAAATGTAAAATATGCATGCAATAGTATGCATATATGTAATAAATTTTTGAAATCATAATAAAGTATTTTGTACTTTAAGGGGGGAGGAATTGTCAAATTGTGCCAAGGATATTTAAGTAAAATAAATTATTTTACTCAGTCAATTTCCTTCAAAAATAAATTTGTTTCCTCAAAAGTTTGACATCAAAATATATTTACTTTTGATTTGCAATTAGCTGCTATTGATTTACAACATTTATTAGCAAGTTTGCATTTCCTTTGGCTCAAAATTTATTTCAATATTTATTTAGCCCATTGCTTTTATTTTTTTCCCTAGTTTCTCATTTGGATTACCCTTATTTTACCCCATTTATTTTTACATTATTGTATGCTGTTTATTTTTACAGTATTGCCTGCTTTAAGGTCATGTTGCAGCAGACTATATTTTGATGATTAAAATTTAAAAATTCTTATTTTATACCTTATTACATTTTTAATGGCCTTTAATTAATAATTTTATCTTAATTAATTTTAAAGTTTACCTGATTTAAAAGTCAGATTACACAATGAAAATAAAACAGCTGTGATTTTAATTCTGGTAAAAGTTATCTTAACATAGAAAAACTTACCTATTATACCACCAACATCATACCAAACAGAGAGAAGATCTGCTTTATCTTCTTTCCACCCGTAAGCCATTTGTAAATAGTATGGCAGCCAGAAGAAAAATGAATAGTTCACAAATTTTAAACAAGCATATGCAAAGGAATACTGAAAATAAAAATTCAGCTTCTAAGTACATTATTACTTTCATAGTGTTCCAAAATATATTTTAAAAAATAACATCTTTCACATTTTTATGCAAGTTTTGGATCACTTTCATTAAAAGAAACTAAACAACATTCTACAGAAAAAATACATGTGCCAGTGTTTCCTATTGGTCATCATAAAATTAAACGCATAGTTCTTATCTCTTGTTGCCCTAGCCAGTATAGTAGTTAGTAACACTAACTGCCACACCAACAGGCCAGAGTTTGAATCCCAAATAAGGCATAGATGTTTGCACACGTTCAGTGTCTGTCTGGCATGGGGGCACTCAAAATACATGGTGTGTCGGAAGTCTCTCAAGAGGTTGGTGGTAAAGGAAGAGGGGTGGAAGACCCTCAGACCCCCCTGTGGTGTTCTTCCTCAAAATTAAGATGGAACATTAACAGTTAGCTAGGTTCAGCAATATATCAGTTACCTGTGGTACTACCGTCCTAGCTTCTACCTGCACCTGTTCTATCTCTTATAATGGAAGTCTGTCTTTCAAAATAAACACTGCCATTTAAAAAGAAAAGCTTTTAAGTGTATCATTCCTCCCCATTCTTTGTTTACTAAAATAACCAGTACTTTCTCTAGAAACATATAATACTTCTACAGCACTAAATGAAATAGAGGACCAAAATCAATCAAATCCTACATGCCTCTTATATGGCAACACTGGCTTTGACAATCTCTGGTGACACCTGGAAATCACTAGCAAAAAATTTCCTCATTCAGCGTCCAAGCAAACTACCATAATCTTTTGATTATCACTATCATAATCTGTTGATTGCTATGCTGTTTTAAGCAAAGAAAACTGCAGTAACTAGAATTTTGGTAAAATTCCATTAATGCAACAGCAGGAAAAAGTCTGCAAATGTTCCAAAGATAGCAACTTCATAATGCAAAATAGTCAAACATTGAGACTTCATGCATTTTGATCCAATGATTCCATGCAAAGCTTTGACAAAAGATATGTGGTGAATATAATGATTTGGCAATTGGTTTAAATGACGAAGGATCTGAAATTTCTTCAGGAAAAGGAGTTCTCCAAAGTGCAAGATTGTTCAGATAACTGCAACTATATTTTCAAGCAACAATACATCCTGAATGCATTATTAGGATGGTCATTACTACCTCAAGTTACATTTTGGACTGATATTAACATGTAGTGACAACTGCTGGTGTTTCATCAGAAAAGTACTACAATTTTAACTACTATTGTACCTAATAGTACAGTAAAAGCTCCACTAGCTGGAAAATTTGGGAAATGCAGAACTCCGGATGCATGAATATTTCGGATAGTGGAATGTATAAAAAACGAAATTCAGGTTAGAAAAGCCAAATCAATGGGGGAAATGTCCATTCTAAAATTATTACAATCAATCACCTTATTTGCTACCAACTTGATTATCAAAAGCCTACATTTAAAATTACAAAAGATACAGAAAATGCACTTCAGACATAAAAGCAGAGTTATTTTGCAGGCCTTAAACACAAAAGTAAAATGTCTGATCCAATTATGAAAATTGCTGGAGATGTCACCAATAATTTTTCATGACACATTACCATTATTTATCTGTTTTCAAAGTCGCATATCATGGCTATTTTTTTCTTTAATGGCTGAGAACTTTATAATCGTTTCTAATTTTTTTAACGGCTGGGTGCTTTTGTTGATGCCTGGATGCTGATAAAACTCCACTTCAAGCAGCCTCAAATATTAATAATTTTTTTTAATGTGAGGGGAAAATAGAACTTATACCTTCTTTACAAAAATAAAACTGGCTTATCTAGAATTAATTGAATTTCATTAAATCAAAAGCTTCTTGATAATGAGTTGTGATGTCATACTTATCCATTACTAGTGCTAAATGACACTGTTTGGAAACATGTGTATGTGTTAATAGCATTATGAGTCATACAATGGCATTACAAAATGCTCATTTACTAAATTTTTTCAGGGAAAAAATCTTCTAAAATTCTCCGGTTACTTTAACTTTCTGATTAATTGAATGCCAGATCAGGATTTTACTATACAAAAAACTGTACATTTTTATGATATCAGAACTGCATGTTCTAAAACTTATGCTTATTCTACAAGTAGTACTGAGAAATATTAATACGAGCAACTAAATTATGTATATATATATGTGTGTGTATTTTTGGTTTATTGCTGTGTGATATTAATTTTTAATGTCAATATCCACATCTTTACAATTTTCTAGTTTCTTATAACATGTCTTGTATTTTGTTTTTTATTTGCATGTTTATGCATTATTCTAATATCTGTGCTTTATAAATCAACTCTGGACGAGGGATACTAACATTAGTAAATACATCCTTTAAGCATATACAAGCAAACGAAAAAGTATACACTGACGAGCCTTACGTATTATGACCATCGCCACTTTTCAATGAACTCATCTGAATGACGTGCAGGCATGCGGTTAAGAGGGAATGGTATTTAACTGCTGCTGCAGAAGGTACTTATCATTCTTGCACTTACTTTTGCAAGTGATGGAACATGCTGATGATCAAATTTGATATACGGCAGAGTATAATGGACCAAAGGCTCAGACTAGTTATCTCCTAAACAGCTCAACTGGTAGACTGATCATGATCTGCCACTGTTAGTGTTTATGCAAAGTGGATAAATGGCAGTAAAACCAGCAGTAGACACCAAGGTGTTTGACGTCCATGTGTATCAAAGAAAAAGGATGTTGGAGACTGTCCTGCTTGAGACAGCAAAATCAGCACCACTCAGTGGCTCAGCTGATAGCCCAATACAATGCAGATTCAAGTGCAAGTGCTTTGGAACACAGTTCGGTGGACACTGTTGGATATGGGACTGCGCAGCAGACATCCCACTAGTATGCTTCTGTTGACCAAGTGTCATTGTCTACCATGCCTACAGATAAAGTAGTAGATAGAGCACATTTGGGATGTTATGAAGCAGCAGTTCAGAGCTCAAACACCACCATGTCAGAATAGTTTGATTTTGTGTGAATGTTGCTTAGACATTTGGCACAACCCGTCTCTAGTCATCTACCAAGAATTTGTGGCATACATGCCAAAGTGAATTGCAGCTGTTTTGCAAGCCAAAAATCTTGCAGTGTGTTATTGAGTAGGTGGTCATAATGTTTTTTCTCTTCAGTGTATATATGCATATTTCCCAGTAATATCAAACATTTTACATTAGAAGACATTCTAACTTATTTTCCTTGAAATTGAACTTTTACAAATTTTAGAAACTCCCAAGGGTGGAACGATATATTTCTATTGTAAAATTACTAGCTTAAGTTTTAAAACAAGATTCAAGTTTCTCATATGTGTAAGAACACCTTTTTTTCCTTCTATTTCCTTACTGTGTTTAACTGTGTAAGGCTTAAATAAGCCAGGTCTGGGTGCTCCTTCCTTTTGGTGAGTTATTTCTTTATTTAGACCAAAGGTCAGCAAACTCTTTCATCAAGAGGGTATGATTCAGAGTTTGGTGCACACTGTAGTAGTGATAAATATCTCTCCATATTGCATTTTTAGCAACTGCTACAGATGAATTGCATAAAAAGCATACATCTTTTTATAAAAAATTAAACACAATTTTCGCCCACTTAAAATGATGCATCTTCCCCTTATTTGTTTTTTCCCTCCCCAAGGCTCTACTCTCTTTATAACTTAAAATAAAACCATGTAATGACTACTTTATGTACAAACAGAAGTTATGGCTGCAAAGCGAAGCATGCCATATTTGGATAGAGTACACAAGGATAATGGGGGTATGCAATAGTACACTATGCAGAATCAGATATTTCTATCAGTACAAAATCGATTCATCTAGTCATGCAGTGCTACCTAGATGCCACTAAGATTCAGTTTTTATCTAAAGCTTAAATGTACAGTTTTAAAACAGTTGAGAAATATATTGCAAAAATGTTAAAATAGTGAAGAAAATTAAAATTTTTGTTCTTTCTTACAGTTGCAAGTGTTTGCTGTTGAAATACCTAATTTTTAAAGTTAAGATATCTGGATGACAGGCACTTTAAAACTGCTTAATGGGCACATTGAAGCCTGCTTTAGATTCTTAGGAATGAATTTAATTTACAATCTTTTATTATTTTGCAGTTTTTCCTCAAAAGACATTTTGCTTTTAGTAGTCAAATATGCAATATGGTACATAACTTTTTTGGTAATAAACTACAAAAAACACTTTAAAGTACGAATTTTCCAAAAAATCAACAAATATCTACAAAACTGTAATTGCACTATAATTTTAGGTACTTCAGGGATTTATATTCATATTTCCACTGTTTTTGGAGTCTGTCTTATATTATCAGTGAATAATATTGTAGAGAGATTAGGTTATTTTGAAGCACAAGCGATGAAAAATGAGCAATGCCCTCGCCAGGACTCGAACCACGGATCTCTCAAATACGCATCGAGCGTGCAGACCACTACACCACAAAGGCACACTAAGAAGGCGGGAGAAATACCTTACATGAATAAAACTGTAGTCTACATTGCCACTGTTTCCCACCAATTTTGGAGTCTATTATTATCAGTCAATAATATGAATACAATTGTAGTCTACATTGCCACCATTCTAAATCACTATTATTAAATTTCGTTTCACACAATACACATAATTACTGAACTTTTATTTGATAAAATTTCACTAAGCATCTAATTATCATGCATCTACTACATGAAAATCTTGCGAATACCATTTTCCCTCTCTCCCGTGCCTATAGGGATGTGATGAAATTTTGATTGACCACAAAATATTTATATAATCACTAAGCACTTTAAAAGCCTTCAACATTATACACACACATGGGCACACATATTCATATGTACATGGACACATAAATATGCACACAGATATTACAGACATGTATGAATACATACCTCATAATGAACTAACTAGTCATAACTACATCTATGGTGACAGCATTGCTCAGAGTAAAAAGAAATCCAACATATTCTAAATTGCTACTATTTATAAAATAATTACGTAAACCTAATATTTATAATTTTTCCAAGTTATTTTATAAAAGCAGTACCATTGCATGCACACTTCTAGCTAACAAACTACAAATGCATGCATAGTTCCATGTAAACACAAAGTATGTGTTTTTGAATGTGAAAAAAGTATCAAAAAGAATATTCCCCTTAAATAAAAACTTTTAGTTAGGATGTTTCAAAAAGGTACCACAACTAAAGATTCGTTAAAGGGTTAGTTCTAAGTCCCAAGTTCCATTTTAACAAATGAAGAAAAAAAAAAGCAAGCTTTTAGACTATGATTAGTTTGATTCATATGACATCATTTCATAAAAATACATGGAATTTATATTTTTGGTGGTTTTTCCACAAAAGAAATGGCAATAAGTCAAACACGAAATCTTTTCCATATATAAGAAAATAACATATAAAGGAAAAAGGTCTGAAATGTGCTGATAAAACTATTAAAATTATAAGATATAAACTGCTCTTGCTAAAAAAGTCAGTTCTAGAAGTAGTATAAAATTTAAGTGTACTGTGCATCTTTTTTCTTTTCTTTTCTTTTTTTTTTTTTTCAATTTTAGTTTATCCATAGATAATAATTTTAAACTTTATTTCTTTGTGCTTTTATAACATAAATGGTATTTTAATGAAATTTTACATTAAAAAAACTTTTGTCCATGCCAGTGTCTGCGGGTGATCCCTTAAAATTTTATTTATAGAAGTCTTGAGTAGTTTTTTTAATAAGATTATGGATTATTTTTGAAGGGAGCCTTATTAAGTTATGAAAACTTATACAGTTATGAAAGAGTTATGTTATAGTATCCCTCATTGACTTTATTCTCCACAAATGCAAGTTTCATAAACAGTTAAATTTTAAGTTTTTCATTCTCCTATTTTTCTTGGCTTCCCTCACAATAATTGTTTAATATAAAGTGTTTTATGCAGATATCAGTTATGCTAATTTTAAATACTGAGATTTTTTAACTGTGTGGTATCCTTTTACAAGCTAGTGACAATTTTTAAGTTATGCACTAAGTTAGACCATAAACTGCACCTCAAATAAACTTCTAGCTCAAATTGGAAAAGAAACATGTAATGTAAAATTTAAACTTTAAACCTTTAACTGCTTATTTCTTTACTTGTTTTCATGTTCTTTATTTCTACACTGATGATAACTTGCTTTCGCATTGGTGTAGTCTGAGCTAAGCTGCTAAGTCAAACCAATAGGCAGAATTTCAGTTCATAGCTACAGCATCACATAGCCAAAATTCTCAGTCTCAAAGGGTATGTTATTTGATTCATTTCTTAAAATAAGAAATATGGGTCTTAACCAGTCATTCAAGTGATATTTTATTGCATAATCACTTTGAAACATTATATAAGCACTAATCGTGTTTTAAATAAAATTACTTCATTTGTTGTACTTAAGCAGTGCTTCACACCAAAACAATATAAACCTAGCATAATTTCAAACAAAAATAAGAACAATTTTTAAATCAGCATCAGTTATGTAGCTCTAACAAATGTCTTAAATCACTACGTGAGCACATAATTATAAATTAACAGAAAATTGATAATGTCTGTTAGTGCTCTTAAAATGTGTCCAGAAAAGATCTTACAGCTATAACACCAGGCAGACAGCAAGCATGGCACAGTCCAATTGCTTTTGGCCTTTCACTTATTGACCTCTCATAAACTTTTGAAGATGGCTCTTGTTGAAGCAATGGTTTCTTATCTGAAGGATCAGAACAGTTCTCATCTGGATCAGGAAGACCTAAAAATTTAAAGCAAATGCTTAATAAAACTGCAAGTAAAATGAGAAATTACTGAAAAGAAAAAAGCTTCTAGCTTATACAATGATTAAATGTTTTGAACTTCCTTTTCGTTTACCACCCAAAATTACTGCATATGTTATGCCAACTTAAGGAGTGTACTAAAGGTACTATATACTACACGACATTGCATGTTTACCTACATTATTTACTTTTGCAACTTACAAATCACACAGATCATATACAATTAATTCATGAAAATAAAAATAAAATGAAGCATGCTCAGACCTCATGGCTACATGTAAATGGTTGATTGCTAACATAATTTCTTGATTCCCACCAACAAAATACATGAATCAAACATTTACACCAACAAATGAATGTAAGATGTAAAATAAGGCAAAACAAATTTTTATATTTGTTTTTCAGGTGAATATTACATTAACATAAACTAACAGAGATTTTAAATTTATACTAATTTAAGGTTCTTCTTTGCCTAATTTTACATTTGAAAATGCTCCAAAATTTTTGCACAAATAATTTATACACAAGCAGTTGATTGTTTCAAATCATGCAAAAGCCATCTATTTTAGAAAGGTTACCTTTAAGAGCTTAAAAGATAACTATCTTACAATGATGCTAACTATAGGCTAATCTGTTCTGCCAGTTTCTGAACTAGTTATAAAATGAATAGCACAAATTTGAACCATTCAGTAAATAATAAGCAATGATATTTATAGATAGTTTAAAAAATACAATATAATCAACCATACAAAATCAATCAATCTACCAAAAATTGACAAAACAGGATTTGTTTTTATTTTATTTGCAAACACATGCACAAATGCGGGTAGTCAAATGATAAGTTTATCACCCAATTGCTTACATATTTGCTTAAATATACAATTACTACTTCTTTACAAACATACTTAAGGATGTTACTGAAATGAGTAAACATTACCAAGATGCATATTAAAAAAATGCAAACTACAACTACAAACATGCAGGAATTTTTCATATTTTTAAGCAACAGTATATCTCCTAATAACTAAAATCAGAAACAATAAAAAATGTTAAGAATTTCTCATACATTAGAGATTAATAAAAAATTTGAATCTAATAAAACAAATACGAAACTGAAATAGAAATGACTGCTAAACTGGTCATGTAGATGCTTCTTTCAAACAGCTAAAATTTCAGAGCTACCTAATCAACCCACCTTATCAAACTTAAGTATATGAAAATTCATGCTTGAAAATACCAAAAATTTTTAATTAAGCTTCACATAAATGATTTAGATTTACAGGTTTTTCAAATACATCTCCCACATAATAAATGCACATGGAATTTTGTAGTTGCATGCATTTAATGCTTGCTGTTTTTTTTTTTTTTTTTTGTCAAATTTTAGAAACAAAATTTTCAAAATCAGATCCTTAATTCATATTTTTGGAAAGAATAATAAAAAAGTTCACCAAAGATTTATAATTAATATATTTTTGTCACATTAACCTGCTATAGATCTAGTTCCACTAGTTTACACATTTTTGGATATTTATGTATTATCCCATCAATCGACCAAGTAGTGCTAATTATGGATGACTATTTCCCTTAGAATTTCACAGCATCGATAGCCAGTTGGTGACTGTCGCTGAAATTTCTACCAAAGATCAAAGGGATAATATATAAGTATCCATTTTTGTCCTTTACGGCCAAATAAAAATTCATTTAAACATGCATTATACAGGATAAATTTGAAAAAAAAAAAATTAAAAAGCTTTCTTACCAACATCACGTGGTGAAGCGACTAAACTGCAAAGTATCACACATCCTGCAGCAAATGTGATACTGGATGTAACTAAGAAGGAGTACTTGAAATAAAAATATTTCTTTTCAATAGCAGGTTAATAAAAGAGATTCAAAAATGAATCAATTATAAAAATGATTGATGATGATATTTTTAAAAAACATCATCAATCATAAGAAAAATATAATAGTCATACATTTACTACAGGATAGATAAAGGATTTTTTTAACAAAAAGCGATCTAGAAATTAGAAAATATTAAGCCCAGTGACTGACAAGAACTATACTATGATTAATGGTAAGTTATACAAAAGAAAGCAGCTATGAAATAATGCCGAAATATAGAATTTTAAACACAAAACTGTTTTTAAATGCATTAAAAAGTATATACACCTTAGTTCAAAAATAAATTAATAATGAACAATTAGAATAAAGCGGCCAGCCTGACATCCTATTTGGGACTCCAGCTAAAATTCTAGTTTCACCTAATAATTGAGGAGTACTGAATCTGAATGCTAGTGGCATTCAGCTGAATAATTAAGCTCTGATTGTCATTGTTAGTAACGAAGCAGATCTTCATCTCACATAAAAATGATCTCACTTTTGTGTCACATTTGACAAACTTTATGAAGCAACTGCAGATTTACGAGACTGTGTATCATATGATGATGATAATTTGCTATAATAATGTTACTTTATACGCTGGCTTTATTACTCAAAAACCCATGGTACCACAATGGAATCTGGTACAGAATTATAATGAGGAAGTAAGGGAAAATTTCTATATAACACAAGGAGAAAACATTGAAATACAAATGAAATTCATTCTGAAGATTATTTCATAAAAATATATTCCCAATTTCAGTCTGGCATAAACCTTTACAGCAAATGCTTTTGTCAGGATCTTATGCCAGCTTCTACTTATAGATAATTTGGTAAATATAAAAATGGGCTAAAGGCCAAAGAATTTTTCTTAGTATGATAAATGGATTATTCAGATGTCATGTTTTGCTCGGTCTAGCTTCATCATTCATGGATGAGATTACAAGTGTTATAAAAGTTTCCTTTGTTACTCAAGTTTAGACTCTAACTCCGATCTTCACATCAAATGATCTAGCTTCCTCTAAATGCTTAACCATTTATCTAACTGCCAAAAGGAGATAAAGGACCTTTACAAGATACGAACAGTAATGCTCTTAAATCTATCCAAAGTTCCTGTAGCATTATATCTACTAACACTCAGCCAACCAGTAGATGAATGGTTAAGACTGCTGAATACTGGGAGTTCAACTTGGCCTGGGTTCAAAACACAGAAAAATCAGCTGGCTGCATGATTGGTTTTTGTGGCTTTTCCCATATCTCTCTTTTACACAAGAGTTTTCTACAACTGATGCTGTTTTGTAACTTTCTACACTACAGAGTTTTGTCAAAAATGATGGCTCCTCTCAAATGTTATAATTGCTTTAAAAGCAAAATCTAATTGTTAAAAAATTGCAACTATACAGCTATTATATGGATTCAAATTATTCTAATTTTATTATATAATATCGTAAAAGTTTATTTGTTACTATATTTATATATACTATATACAGGGTGCTCACTGAAGTCCAGTATCACCCATTTAACTGCCAAAAGGTGCAGCTCTAGTCACACAAATGTGTTTACTAGGTTATAGTAAAGTGGCTATGCACTACTAGATGAGACTGCTTACAATACCACCTGGCAGAAAACAGCAGTTATCATTCTTATCTCAAAAATTATATGAGGTAGTGGAAAAAGTGAATTAAGAAGTTGTAGAGCATCATTGATTTAAACATACACCTTGTGGATAAGAATGCTAAAAAAAAGTGCTGAAAATGAACATTTGTTTTTTCATGATTTCCAAGACTGTGAAATCATGAAGCTTGAGTGAAAAGAGAAAAGACTATCTCTTACACAAAAAATAAGCCTGCATCGCATAGTTGTATCACTTGAAATTCTCAGTTGACAGGATTGTGGTTCAAACCCTGCAGGGTACATCCTTGCACTGATTATCTTTACAAACCAAGTAGTCAATATGCAGATCATGCAAAATGGTGTCGTGAAAAGCATAAGCTCAATGCAACTTGAGCTTGGTGTGTGAAATCTGTGCATTATGCAACTAGTGTATAAAACATTACACCAGTTCACCTGAGACAGTTATAAAAGAGAGATCTCTGGGTTGTATGCTGAAGGTCATGGAACAATTTTCGAAAAATGATTATTGTTAGATGGTTCAACTTTACAGTAAATGAGAACGTATGGCATGATCATCAGCATGGTTGTATCGGCAACTTTCTCTTCCAAGCACGCATCCTTCACACAAGACCATCCTACGGGTTTTGAAACATTTAAGGGAGACAGGTTGCATGACTAGCCGACTTTAATCTGGCACACTAGCGAAGGTAGGATGGAAAGTATCACAGGAAGATATATTAGCATTCACCTTCACATATCTGAACAGCAGCACAAGAGAGATAAGTGAAAATTGTGGCCTTTCAAAATGTCATGTTTGGAAAATCCTAAACAAATTAGGTGCTCATTCATATCATCCAACACCATATCAGGCATTACTGTTTATTTCAATTGCTTTTAGTTCTATTTCATAATTCCAGTTAAGATTACTGCTGTTCATTATTTTTATAAAAAATACTTTTGAATTAACATGCATAAAAGCGAGGGTGTCGGGGGACACGTTACTCAAGTATCTTGTAATTTTTACTACATAATTTGGCTATTCACTCAAAATTTCTAAAGAATCTATTGTCTTAGCAAAAATGCTACATTCAGAATGAGTTCTTTGGTACTCTAATTTGGCTTTAATGTCTCAAGGTTTCTAAAAATTCAATCACTTAACGGAACTACAATTTTCGCCTAACTAAATTTGCCAGTTTGGCATCTTCATTCTTACTTTAGTAAGACGAAACACCTTCATTTATTAATTATTGCTCATTGATCGGGAGTTGGTTTGTTCCCCTTGAAAAGTCAACTAATTTCCAATCAATGGTAATAATTTCTTAATTTATTAATTTTCTTTTTCAAAGTTTGAATTTTTGTTATTCATGATTTAAATTCAAATACTTTTCAACATCTTTTTTCACAATTTAAATTCAAGTACCCTTAAGAAATTTTCCATGATTTACATTCAAGTTCCTTTTAAAAAAACAATTTTCGGAATTAAATTTCATACTTCTGGGTTCAATCATTTTGATACATTCTACTAAATTTATATTAGGAGATAATATAATCAATTTGTCTTTATATATATATATATATATATATAATGTTGAATGATCTTAAATTCACTTAGTTCGAAAACAAGTTTTTCTAATACTTGCATATATATATTATGTGTGTGTCTAAATACACCTTTTAGGAATTAATGAAACTTCTCCATATTCCATATCATATTGATTGATGAAGTTAAAATAGTCCAAAAATTAATCTATACATTCATTGATTGAATTTAACAAAATACAGTAATATATAGAGTTCCAAAAATTGAGTCTTTAATGATATAGGAAATTAAATAAATCTCTTGAACACTTAAAAGCAACTGTCTTGCTATCAATTGGATTAATTAAAAAGGAAAGAAAAGGAAAGTTTGAAAGACTAACTTTATATACAAGCAAAATAAAAAAAAATTTAAAAAAAAGAAAAAAAAAAAAAGATTCAAAGCAACCAGATATTATTGCTGATACAACCTTGGTGAAGAGTTCAATTCAAGTTTGCCAAAAATCTTTATTTTGTAAAAGACAGTAATATACATGATGTGGAAAACATAATCAGGAACCACCACCAGAGTGGTAAAGTCACTGAACACTGCTAGTTTGGTTCAAATTCGAATCTCAGCAAATTGGCTGGCTGCATGGGCAGTGTCGCGGTTTTCCCCATGTGTAATGCATGTACGAGCCAATCTCCTTTAGAAATTCCTCAATGAAGGAATACCTCCTCTTAGGCAGGCAGCTCTCGAGTGTTTTGCCATAATTAAATAAACCAAATAAACCAGCTTTAAATCACTTCTAGAAAACTAAGAGTAAGTATTTAGTAAATGCCAATATGCTAACTAAAATTCACCCCTGAAATTCAATATTAACTACCCCATCATCAATCAATTAATAGATGTAAAAATTTGTAGAAAGCCAAAATGGCAGAAAATATCACCATTTGGCGTCAATTCGCATTTTGATTTCATTAGGTGATTATTCAAATGTAGTCTTTACACAGCATGCTTTTTCTTGAAGAAACAGAATAGCTGCTTGTTCATATGTTGGAAAATCTCAAATTGTAAAAAATATATTTCATACAGTTATGTCAGGAAAGAAGAAAAAAAAACTCATCCGGTGCTGCGGAAATACACCAAATAAAAAAGTAACAAATGGCTTTAATAGAAAAGAACTGCAAATTTTTCTGATTAATGGAATAGGTAAAGAAATGCTAAATGAAAATGCTATTGCTAAAATCTTCATTGCAATGGCAATGCTCCAACTATCAAACAATTAATGGATAGTGAAGCCTGTAGTATGGTTTATCCAAAAAAATATAATTGCCAGTTATGAAAAGAATAATAAAGAGGTTATTGAGAAAAATATTTCAATTGATTACTTGATGGAAAATTTCAACATCGTTGTTACAGAATTTGAAAAAATAAACTTTGAAACTGAACAAGAAATAATGTCTTTTTGTAAAATTAAAGAAAGTATTAAACCCATAAAATGGTTGAACAAATTATGCTAAAAAAATTTTTACTGAAACAATACTAATTTTAACATTAAGCTCTTTGATTGTCAATTTTGGTTCCTCTAAGATCAATATTCAAACTAGGAAATATTGTTTGTGAAATATTATTATTTTACAAACAAACTTTCCTAGTTTTATAATTTCTATACATAATCTTAATTAGATTTAAACTGATGATCTAAAATTTGAAAATTTTTGACATCTAGAATCATCAATGTCCTGGCAATTCCAGATCTTAGACTTTGTACTGCATTAGCAGAATGCAAAACTCGGATATTAAGATGATAACAATTAAGAAATCTAAGTAAAATAAATTTAATCATACCTGATAGCCAAAATGTAATACTAAGTTCACAATACAAGCTCCAATTATATTTCCAACAGATGGACATGCACCCCACACTCCCATCACAAATCCACGGCTGTTAAGATATGCACTTATTTTATTTAGAGATTATAATACAAGTTAATCATGAGATTAATACAAGTTTCATTATTTTTAATTATTTATATGCACATAACACACACACACACACACACACACATATATATATATATAACAACATTCAACAAGTGAAGATCTCATAACCAAATTTATTTTTAGCACAAATAATGGAACATTATGCTTTATGAAGTGTAGTTGCTTGTAGCAGAACACTTGAAAAATAATACCAGTTTGGGGTAGACTGAAAAAACTTTCACAATTTGTAACACCCCATTTGCAAACATAACTTTTTGGAGCAGCAGGCAATGAAAATTCAAATAATTTCCGATATGCACAAATGTATATGAAATTTGTTAATATATGAATTCGATATTTTGTGTCTTTACAAAATGTCAGCAATTATCTAGAAGCAAATACAAATTTTTAATTCTGAGTTTATAAGGTATTTCTCCCACCTTCTTGGCATGCCTCTGTGGTGTGGTGGTCCGCACGCTGGGTGCGTATTCCAGAGGTCCATGGTTCGATTCCTGGAGAAGGCATCATTAATTTTTCATTTTGCCTGCTTCCAAAAATACCTAATATCTCTACAGTGGCACCCAAACTAAAAAGGGTGGTGGATGATGATTCTCCCCACCCAGGATTTGATGACTGGGTCCCCTAAAATTCCCAATCGCTCTTTAAAAGGGGAAGTATATAAGGTATTTATCCCGCTTTCTTGGCATGCATTTATGGTGTGGTGGTCTGCACGCTAGGCGCATATTCCAGAGGCCCACAGGTCGATTCCCAGGGAAGGTGTTGCTAATTTTTCATCCTGCTTGCTTCCAAAAATACCTAATGTCTCTACAAGTTATGAAGCATTATGTTAGTTTAGTCCGCCTTATTTCAAAACTCACTACAGAAATTATACATTATTTTATCTCAAAAGGAAAACGATAAAAAAATTCAAGAATAGTTTAATTTTGTCATATGCAAAAATGTAATACAAAATCAAAATGAATAATATTTAACATGCAGAAAAATTAGAAAAAGTTATTAATTCTTCAAACTGAAATTCAAGCTTTATAACTCAGGAGCTATAGATTTCCTCTCAGCTTTCATCATTTCTACGTTTTTGGCACTGGATTGTTTACCTTTAGACATGAAAGGTAAACTACTAAATTATCTTCTTAGCTTATGTTTTCCACAGGTGGATGAGGCAAAACCATGTCAGATCACAAATTCCTTAATTTGTAAATAGTGCATACAGAATACAATAAAATTCCGAAAGTACGCAACTGCTTTATCCATGAATACTTGTGATTTACATTCAGTTTTGATTGTAAACAACCAAAAAAAAAAAAAAAAAAATTGCATTTTCAGATTATTTAGCATATCAAACTTAATGGCATTCTTTTCTTGCACATATATTAGAAAAAAAAAGCATTTTAACATGCATCACATTTATAATAGAGATGGGCTAAAAAATTAACTTATTTTATCATTCAAGATATTTATTATTTTTTGTGCCCATTTCAGTGGTTTATTTTTATAATAAATTTGCATCATGAATCTCGGCAAATTTTTTACTTTGTACTAATCCATATTCTTGGATGCATATTTTACTATCTTTTATTATTAATTTTGAATTCATGTAGCTCATTTTAACGCTTAGTGCTCCGCTACAGAGCCGTCCATCATTTGTTCCATAATGTCGTAGGCTCCGCTGCGGAGCCCAATGTTTTTAGCATGATTAGGCTTAAGATGATACAGAATCGTCGGCATTGGCAATTGTTATCTGTAGTTAAAATGTGCTCAGTCTCGCTACTGTTACGATTGAAGCGGAGCCCAATGTTTTTAGCATGATTAGGCTTAAGATGTTACAGAATCGTCGGCATTGGCAATTGCTATCTGTAGTTTAAATATGCTCAGTCTTGCTACTGTTACGATTGAAACATTATTTAACCCATTTTTATAGTTAGCAACATGAAGAAAAATAATTATTGTGATAAGAATATAGAGTTGAGTGATAGTGAAGATGTGTTTGATTTTTCATTGTTAGAAGATATTGTGGAAGACAATGTTGATTATAATTCTGACACTTCAAGTAGTGATTCCAAAATTATACTACCAAAGAGACAACGAATGGTAGTTATTGAAAGTGAAAGTGAAGAGTAGCCAGAAGACTTAGATGAATGGCGCAATGTCAAGGAAGAATTAAGATATTCCGGATAGTTTAGTCCATTTTAGTGTATCGCCAAAGGTCATTGGACCAAATTCTTACAAATATTGTACAGCCAACACAATATTTCAAATTATTTTTCACAAACGAATTGGTAAATGAAATTATAAAAAAACCAACAATTACACAAATGTTCTAAAGAATAAAGAAATATCTAGTGATTCTATTTGGAAACTATTCTATTTGGCGTGCGATGCAAGAGGGCGAGTTTTGGGCTTTTATTGGAGTTATTATCAATATGAGGACAATACCCCTGGCGAATATGCAGGATTATTGGTCAATTAAGGAGAATAGTCACATCCCTTTCTTTATTTTTTACTATATATTAAAAATATTTTAGTATTAAATATTAAAACTATTATATTAATATTATATTAATTAAAATAATATAGATATATATTAAAAATATTTTAGTGTTATTAACACATGAGCAATATAGTAAAATTAATAGATATACAATACAATATCAAGCATTATTTTGAAAAGCAGATGTATACTGCTTTCAATACAGAAACAAATCATGTTCTTTTACTTATACTTTTGTTGATTAATTCATAATGATACCAAAATAGCTAAACTTTAATTAACAGAAAAGGTAAATAAGCAAGTTTCCTTTTTATTTTAAAAAATCTTTTCTTTTTTATTCTAATTTTTTTTATCTTTAAAATTCTACCAATACCACTTAAGGGGGGATTCTTGCCTGTTTATCATGACTGGATAATTTTAAGGTAAAAAAGAAATTTTTACCAGTGTTGTACAATAGTAGATAATGAATGTAAAACTGTTTACATATTTTTTGGCAAAATATTTACAAGAAAGAGATTTATGCAGATATTCTGGATGCTACATTTAAAAACACCGGATCCTGCAAAATGTGCTGGAGTTGCTGGTAGGCAGTGGTACAAAAACGTGCGGAGCGCTAAGGGTTAAAATTATATATTTCATGCATTTATGTGTCCACAACTTTTCAGATTCAAATTTTAATGCTCTGCACAAACATTGGTATTGTCATAGTGATGGGCCCAGGCTCAAAGATGCTTGCAAGCATATAGTGTCTGTGCAGAAAAGAAGCACTCAAAATACATGACAAGCCATTTGAGATGTTAGTAGTAAGGGGAGATGGGTGGAAGATCCTTAGACCACTCTCCGGGATGTCCTTTCTCAAAATTAGGCTGGAATTGCAGTTAGTGCCGTGAGACTATACCCTGTATGATCAATGGTGAATTTCTGGTGTTCCACCCACTTCTTTTTGTACCACAGAAAATAAGGATAAATTCTTGAAAACAGCACATATAAAAATTCTTCTTGCAGAAAAAAAGAAAAAAAAAAAAGAAAAGAAAAGAAAACATGATGAAGAAAAAGAAGCTAAAAAAAAAGGAATTTTCTTTTAATAATGTAAAATTTCAATTCTAGCATTATTTTTGGCATCATTAATCCAAATATGGAAGCAAAAAACCTAATGGAAGAATTTGCCTATATAGAAATCATTACTTTTGAGGGCTTATTTATTTCATTTTTCTCATAAAAGCAAAAAAATTACTCAGGAAATAATTTCTTTGGTAGATACATAATTTTTCTACATGATATTCTTTAATGTATTTTTACTTCCTCAACAAACTTCCTTATCACTTCACTACATTCACTAACATTATTTTCTTTATATATAAGTATATTTAAAAATATATTAGTTTCACAGTAAATCAGCAAATCTTGATAAATAGTTTTTAAGGTATGAGTGTGCTTTTAGTTCATTATTTATGTGCAAATAATCCACAATTAGAGTAAAAATTAGAAAGCAAAATGTGTAAACAAAAGTTGTAAGGACATGACCTAATAATTGAAAAAATTACTTACCTGGAACACTATCATTCTAGAGGTATGCATATTATCAGAATTCTATGCAAGCAGGTAAAATACATACTGCATACTCATGGGATAAAATGAAAACGTTTATACACACATGAAAAAAGCTATATGAAAAAGACAAAACAAACCTTGATTTTCCAAACCAGTTGCCAATTACAGCAACCACAGTAGGCCAGCCTGTAGATTGCAACAATCCAGTTAAAGCCCAAAATACAACATACCACACTTTGTTATAGAAATGAAGCCATTCGCTTACCATTCCAAACATGAAAACCTTCAGAAAAATATTTTAGTATTATTAACACATTAGCAATATAGTAAAATTAAGAAATATACGATACAATATCAAGCATTATTTTGAAAAGCAGATGTATATTGCTTTCTATACAGAAACAAATCATGTTCTTTTACTTATACTTTTGTTGATTAATTCATAATGATACCATAATAGCTAAACTTTAATTAACAGAAAAGGTAAATAAGAAAGTTTCTTTTTTATTTAAAAAAAATCTTTCATCTTTTAAAAAATCTTTTCTTTTTTATTTTAATTTTTTTATCTTTAAAATTCTACCAGTACCACTTAAGGGGGGATTCTTGCCCGTTTATCATGACTGGATAATTTTAAGGTAAAAAAGAAATTTTTACCAGTGTTCTACAATATTAGATAATGAATGTAAAACTGCTTACATATTTTTATATGTGTTTAAAATAACTGCCAGGGTGATAAAAATAAAACGGACTAGACCAAGAAAATGTTTTTAAACTTGACTGTCTTAAACCTGATTTCTATTATACTTCAAAGTAATCCCTTCAGCGTTTTATACCTCAGGTTCTAGCAACTGCATCATGAATGGTCTATTCTCTCGAAATTTTCTAATCAAAAAGTCTAGCAGCCTCAAGTGCCCTCACAGTCATATTTTAGGGGAAGTTGAAGGGTTTACAATCCCCAAAAATGTTTGATACCTACATTAATCTTTCTTTTCGAATTTGTGATAAAAAATTTTGAGAAAAAAAACCTAAATGAAGAGCAAATAAACAGGTGAAAAAAATGTACTTCATTATTTTCCCAAGAAACAAAAGGCTACAGGAAGTGCTTCTTTAATGACTGATCAATTCGAAAGGAAAATTTATCAGTAATAAGATATACAACAACCGATCATTTTGCGAATGGGTAAAGCCAGATGGAAGAACTTAAGAGTACAGTTTTGCCATTTTGACCTGCAATGAAGCAAGTCATAATCCAGAATCAAATCAATGAACATATAGCTGTTACTGTTCTACTAAATAATGACACAAACTGGAGCTAGAAATTTTATTTGGTGACCTACAAATATTTTATAAGTGAGAATACAGAAACATCTAACACACATTTTCAATCTGAATGCTTGTAAAACTTTAAGCGGCTTCCTTATTTTTAAAAGGCTAAAGGTGTTTATTGTTTCGCACGTGCACTATTTTTAACTGATGAAGAAGTGGATAAGGGAAAACATGAAAAAAATTGGAACTTTTGTCATGCAGCCCTACTGAAATTTAAAAAAGGCACTGGAATTTATTAGATGTCGTGAAAAACCAATTTACCCCAAAAATGCAATATTGGCAGAAAGTAATATTGTAGTAATATTATTAAAAATAAAATAGAATAAATTAACAACTAGATACGAAAAAAAAAAGATAGAGGCAAAGGAAAATACAGAGAAACTTATACCTATTAATAGAAACAAAACCACACATTTTTGTCGACAGCAAGACCAGTAATGATCAGAGTCTATAAATTTCACAATGCCCGAGGAAAATGAAAGAAGATTTTTGAAGATTGCTAATATTTAGAGCCAATGGAGATCAAAAATTAAAAAAGCCATTTACTACTGTCAGCAAAAATTCCTCCCTGGGGGTTGACTCAGGAGAATTCCTGGGAAGTACTGGCTAGGATCTGTACTTAGACAGTCTCAATCATGGGGGGGGGGGTATATAATTTGACTTCACAGGACTAGAACCCGAGTATTGTAATTAGGTTGGTTCAGGCTTGGCAGGGACTGTTCTGGTACTGCCGTGTCTGTTCCTCTGGCTGTGGTTTAGCTATATCGTTTGTAGATCGGACCTTTTTGACGGGGCTTTGGCCCTCAGAGTTCCAGTGACAGGGACCGACAGAGTAAGGCAAGGCACTGAGAACGAATCTTTTTGATGCTGAAGGAGTGGTGCCCCAAGGCAAAGATGATTACGCAACCCCTATTTTGTATTAAGTTTCAATGTTTTCATTCTTGCTGGGACTATGTATAAAGCAGGGCAGGGACTGTGGGGTCTTTGGAGTTTGGATGTCTCAACCCCGATAAGGCTTGTTCCAGGATGGGGATCCATCTCTAGCGCCCTGTCAGCAAAAATTGCTTTAGAAACTAGCCCCAAAATACAAAATGAATTAATAACCTCATTTGACTTCTTTACATAAAGAAATGTAATTAAGAAAGAGAGTTAATGAAAACCAGGTCTATTCGGAATTAGCCAAAGAAACAAGTGACATTTCGCAAATAGACCAATTTTCACTTTGTATAGGGTATGTGAGTAATGATAAAAATAATATACCATTTATAATGGAGGAATTTTTATCATTTATTTCAGAATATGCTGTTTCTGGTGAAGCTCTTGCAAATGCAATTAATGAAAAATTTATTGACTCTGGTATACAAATACAGCATTTAAGAGGGCAAAGTCGTCGTACAGCATCAGTAAAGAGAGCAGATTTTGAGAAGTGCAATCTATTATATGAAATGTATATTCAAAAGCCCGAAATGTTATTGAAATTATTTCCGAAATAAGCATTCTTTTCTTTTAAATCAGAAACACACTGAAGTGTTCGAAGATAAAACTAAAAAGTTTATTCCTTCAATGAAAAAGAAGTGAATTTAAAAAAGTCTGCAAAACTACATAGTGTGAAAGACAATAAAAGACATTTCTTTGTAAAGAAATTCTAGAACCAATTGTTGCATCTTTGGAAATTAAAGAAATATTTGATTAGCCTCAAAAAATATTTTGGTGTTAATAAGTGTTAATAAGTATAAGTTTATACCGTATCAAAATTATGACAAACTGCCTATTTAGATGTTGCAACTGAAACACACAGTAAAAGATGTTTCTCTTATTTCTTCTGAATTGAAGACAAAATGCAGACACTGAATTCAGTGCTGTACATCTTTTTCACAGCAAAGTCGCATGTAATGTCATGCATTCAGACATCAGCAGGTCACCCGAGTGCATACATATATTTTCTGCATGATTTACTAATAGTTTTGGGCATTGTTAAATGACATGCCAATCATTCTTTTAAAGTGACTAAAGTCATTCTTATCTGAATGCGCCTTTTCTATCTCCTTTATTTAGCATCAACGTTTAGGTATTGATGCTTGCAGTTGCAATCTTGTCCTAACGAGAAACTACACATAATGGATGAAACCGCACAAAGATCCCCAAGAGAGAAGTAATAACTTCACTTAAATAGGTTACTGTTAATGCTGTAGCAGCCTACGTGGCAGGGGAAAAGGAAATCCATTCCAACAGAAGTTCATATACATGGGCGTTTTAGATGTTTGAGGGGAACAGATTTCGGCCTCCCTCGATGCAAAAGAGTTAACTAAAGAAATGTGTGATAATTTGAATATACAAATGCTTATTCCAAGAATGATCAAATTTCAAAAATACTATTGTAGCATATCCACAACAGATGTGGAAATCTATTACCACACATCAATTTTCAAACTTTTCATTGGTGATTTTTCTCTCTTCATTTAGTGACACATTCCTTGTCCATGGATTGGATTATTTAATGATGGCAAAGTACACAAGGGCTATCTGCCTAAAGGGAGGGATGCCTTCGTGGAGGACTTTCTAAGGGAAACTGTCTCGTATACACGTTACACATGGGAAAAACCACGAAAACACCCATGCAGCCAGCCCGTTTGTGGGATTTGAATCTCCCTTGTCCACGAAACACTAATAATTTCACTTTAGGATATTTTACTAGAAGGATATAACATGCCGTAAGATTTTATTGAGGAATACACGATGCTCCTGAACCTCATGAAGATTTACTGAAAGGAGAATGGTCAATATGGCAACAAAAACAGCAAACCAAACAAGATATACCTAACTTCAGGCATTACCAAATTATGATGTAAATAATTTTCCCAACATTCAGTCTTTCTTACTGATTTTGGCAAAGCTACTAGTTTTCATTGAAACAGTTGAGAGAGTTTTTCGAAAAAAAAAAAAGTCTATTTTAGAAATACTACAAATGAAGAATGTCTCACTAGTTTATCTCTGCTTTCAATTCATCATTATTAAAGCACTGAACAGGACTGTAATGTATTTTCACAAAAAATGCTTTCATGTGGGACCGCAAACTTTATTATATTATGTGAGAGAAAAATACTGGTCCATAAATGGGAGAAATACAGTCAAAAGTCGTTAATCCGGACCTCAAAGCTACAAACTTTCTGCACATGCATCAACGCATAATGCGTTCACGCATGTGCATTATACCTTTACCCATGCGCATATTACATTTACGCATGCGCAATTAATGTATAACGGACAGTATAAGATAAGCTAAAATTATCTAATTATCTATTTCAGTTAATGTTGCAGATTACGTTGTTCCTTAATCTTCGAATTGGATCCGGCTTATTATTTTTTGCAGACTGTTAGAGCAATTTTATAAAAGTAAGCTTGAACTTTCGATTACGTCAAATAGAATTTCCAATGCTGGAGCTGCCAAAGGATCTACAAAGCAAAAGTATGCTTCAATGTCCATCAAACAAAAAGTAGAATTGCTGCAAAAAATGGATAAAGGTATATCCTTTGTTTCTCTAACCTGAAATCTGTTTATCAATTTCACACTGCTCTGCGGAGAGGGGGGGGGATGTCGTTGCACGCAATGAACTGGAAGTTGATCTGTCAGCACAATCTTTATCTTCAGGGCAGATGTTTTTATTTTATTTGGCTTATAATTCTTTACTAAATGTAGTATTTCATCTCGATGTACTCCGTCTTTGATATGATTTAAATCAAATTCCTCGTCATTATAATTTGCTTCTGATAGTGAAGAAAGTGACACAGAGGTTATTGAAAACGAAAAAATTTCGATTGACAAATTAGTTGGTATTCTCAACACAGCAATTATAGGACTTGAACAGCGGAACTTTGTAACTGAACAAGAAATTATGTCTGTTTATAGAATTAAAGAGAATGTATTATCACATAAAACGAAGCAACTTAAACAACTTACATTGAAAGAAATGTTTAATAAAGTAAACAAATAAATATTAAGCTTTTTTTTTTTTTTTTTTTTTGTAAATTTTGATACCTTTTAGATCATAATTGTTCTTTATTTCATAAATTACGGTTTCATATTTTTAATTTTATAATTTCTGCATGCCATCTTACTAGATTTAAACTGATGATCTATAATCCGGAAAAATCGATAATCCGGAATCGTCGAAGTCCCGACGAGTCCGGATTAAAGACTTTTGACTGTATTTGCAGAAAGATTTGCCATCAGTGTGAGTAGAAGGATTTGCCTAGGACAATAATGCTGTTATAGATCATTTTCGGCAAAAATCATGATGATTAAATCTTTGTTACATATTTATTAAAAATATGAATAAAAATGCCCTTTCATATCTAACATTTAAATCACATTTAATGTGCTTTCTGAAAATTACAAAATTCCAGATACTGTCAGTCATAGTACCTCCTGAAATTAAATTCTAGCTTCAGCCACGGATTTTCTCTATGGAGTTAAAATGGAAACTCTTCAAGCTATAGATTAGAATCAGAAATTGATTTATATATAATAATCAGTATTAAAAAGATGTCAGACACTAAGAATAAAAGGTTTGCAGTTTTTCATTTAGCATATCAAACCAAAAGAAACGTGTATTGGACTTGATGGCATGCTTTATATTTGCAATGTTTCCATGTACCGCTGTGCATTAATTGTAGAGCCATATTCTGGAAAGATAATCAGTAGCGATCCCTTGCAATTAAAGGGAAAAAATCAGCATGACTTTCTTCGAGCTGAAGTGCAGAGCTTTGGATTTTTTTTGTTGATATGAACCCATGGGCTTCCATTGTTGACTCTTGACACTTGCTCTCTGGCTCAAAATGATGGCACTATGTTTAATCTGCCATGCCAATACGGGACAGAAAATGATATTCCTCATCATGATACCATTCCAGGTGCTACAGGTTAACATTCTGTTCAACTTCTGCTCCTTGGTCAAGCTGTGGAGAACCCGCTGCATACAGATTTTCCGGAACTTGAGAGAGAGATGCTTTGTCAAGATAGCATGAGCGATACCATGACTAATGCTCCAAAATGAGTCAAATATCTTCAATTGTCCACTGTCAGTCTTCTCTGATGGCAGCAACCACAGCAATGACAGGAAAGGTAATGACACAATGAGCTTGTCCTGGCCAACTGTTGTCTTCCAATGACAACCGTCTTGATATCATTTATTCCATTCAAACATATATACTGTATTTGCGAATGTGCACATTATATACTGTATTTGCGAATACACAGTAGACATTCGGGAATGAATTTCACCTTCTGACATTTCTTCTGCAGTCAAAAACTCACTACAGCATGCTGTTCCTCTTTCCTGGCCTCCATAATGATGGAAGAAGACACACACACTACTCGCTGACCTCACTTCAAGCATGTCTAACAGACAAATGATACAGTGGTGAGCATTTGCACTGTTTCTTCCCAATTCCCAACAGAGGGCACTTCTATATGCAAATCTTCCTGCTTTACCAAATTCTGTGCCATGCTTGTTACATAGTCTATCTGGTTTTCCTTTGACTGTCCCTTATACATGAAATGCACTGTCAGATTACCCCAGACATCCAACAGATGTCAACAGAGTTGGTGCCATCACGTTACAAGACAGTGTCCACTTATGTCATATGAAAGATCATGCAGACACCAGCATGAAACCCATCCTCACCTATTACATTTCTCCAATTTATCTGCCACTGATTACTCATTCCCTCTTCTGCCATCATGATTGCTTCTTAGCTTCTAACTAAAGATTAGAAATTCTGATGATGACAGCAAGGATAGCATACAGTAGACAACTTATTCATATAACAAATTCCTGACTTCCTTCATCAAGAAAATTTAGTCATTGATAGAATGATGCTGGACACCAAGGAAGACTATTCTGACTAACTGCACATTGCTTATGTTTGTTACTTAGCATTTGATAGAAACATAAGTGTAAGACATTTCAGTATCATGAACCCTATACTTGAAAGCAAGTGCTGAATTTTAAAAGCCAGGCAAACAGGAATAATTTTTATGCTATTTTATTATAAAACATTAATAATATCTTTATTTGTGTATTTTCATTTAACATAAAAAACAAAAGTTTTTACAGTCATTAAAACTGGAAATAACATACGTCTGCTTTACTACACCACAACGATAAACAAAGTATTAAAGTAATAAAAGAATTATACATGAAATAATAAAAGCTTTATCCTTTTATTTTTAGTACCATTACCCCCAAAATTCGCTTACAGCTGCTATAATACTTAACTAAAGAAATTTTACTCTGGGGAAACTACTGCTTTAATTATTAAATGCAAACACACACACACACACACACACAAAAAAAAAAAAAAAAAAAAAAAAAAAAAAAAAAAAAACACCGTCACAAAAGAAAGAAACCTTACTGTTAAAGAAGATGAACACATTCCAAATGCAAGCACAAATTTCAGGTTCAATCTGTCACCAACAGCACCACTAATAAATAAACCCTAGAGAATTACAATAATCATTTTATTCTTTATTACAGATTTCAGTTTCATCAAAACTAAAACAGATTACATAAGAATGAGCTACAAAATTCTGCAGAAAACAGCTTTTTAAAAGTATATTTATAAACAGATCAGTAAAGGGCTTATATAAAAATTTGTATATTCTCCATATCTTTTATAACTATGCATATTGATATTTATGAAAAAATAACTTTGTATATTCTTAAAGAAATCATTAGCAAAACTAAAAAATTCATGCTTCCTTTGAGTTTTAATATATAAAAATCCCGTACAAATGTTTATACAGAGGAATCATGATTCATGAACAGTTTGGTGTATTGAACAAATTATCTAATCCATCTTATTATTATCTGCTAGTACTCAAGCTGTTTTACACAACTACCTAAAAGGTGAAAAGAAAACAAATAATCAGAAAATATCTTGGACGGATGAGGCCATTGAGAAATGTAAACAAGCTACAGTAAACATTGCTCTTCTCTCTCATCCCACCCCAGCCTTACCTTTTTCGTTGTGCACAGATGCTTCAGATTCGACAGTTGGTTCAGTTTTACAACAATTTGAAAATGGTAGTTGGAAACCAATCAGAGTTTTTTTTCCAAGAAACTTAACGTTATACAACAAAATTACAGTACATGCGATCAAAATTACAGTACATGCGATCGTAAACTTCTCACAATTTATCTTTCCATTAAATATTTCAAACATTTGTTATAAGGACGAAAATTCATAGTGTATATTGACCACAAACCCTTAATCTATGCTTTTTCCCCAAAACCAGAGCACATCTAAGACAAATTAAGCAACTCTAATACATTTCAGAATTTACAACAGAGATTAGGTAATAGGGGGAGCAGAAAGTAATGTCATTTCTGTGCATGTCGACAACAACATGCTGAAGGTAGAGGTGGAAGCAAATCCATGTCAAACCCTCTTAACCAACCTTGGTCAACCATCCAAGAACATTTAAAGCAGAATGGTGTGGTGTATTTAATTATGGCAAAGAACACTAGGGCTATCTGCCTAAGGGGAGGGATGCCTTCGTGGAGGACTTTCTAAGGAAAACTGGCTCGTATACACATTACACATGGGGAAAATCACAAAAAACACCCATGCAGCCAGCCCCTTTCGCTGATTCGAATCGACCGGACGAACTACAGTGTTCAGCGACTTTACCGCTCGGCCGCTGGTGGGCCTTAAAGCAGAATGGAAAAATAAGCAAAGCAGGTGTTTGAGTCCTCCATAATCTGCCCGAAGAGAACAAAGCCAACCAATCCATCACATGCAATGCATTGCTTCAATGAGACACCATACAGAATCTTTTTTGATCATTTGATTACTGGAGACAAAAAATGGGACCTATATGATAATCCAAAATGCAAAAGGCAGTTTTAATAGGGGTTACAAAGGGTTTACATCCCAAAAAAGGGGCTTCTGTGTGTTTGGTGGAGTATTCGCAGAAGTGTTCATTTTGAATTGCTGAAACCTGGACAAACTGTTAATGCAGATCTTTAGTGTGAACAATTGGATCGAGTGAACCAATCTTTAATCAAAAAATATCTGGCGATTGTCAATAGAAAAGGCATCATTTTGCAACACGACAATGCAAGACCGCACAGTGCAAGACGGACACTGGAAAAAATTTATGAATTGGGATGGGAGGTGCAGCATCAATCCACCATACTCGCCGATATCATACACTCGGATTTCCATTTATTCCGATCCCTACAACATTTCCTTAGTGGCAAAAAATTTGAAAATGTGAATGATGTCCAAAATGCCATCTTGAGTTATTTTACTCAAAAACCAATTGATTTATATCGGTCCGGGGATTGAAAATCTGCACACTAGATGGAAAAAGGTTGTTGATAATGAGGGTTATTACATTATTGATTAAAAATAAAAACGTGTTAAAAATTTATTCGTGTGAATTTAATGTAAGAAAGTGACATTACTTTCTGGTCCCCCTATTACATTACAGGAGAAAATAATATTGTAGCGGATACATTATCCAGAATTGAAGAAATTGCCTTAATTAATTATGACAAAATTGTCGAAGAACAAAAGCGAGATGATGAATTTAAGACATTGCCTACAAATTTGACTTTTAAACAGTTTTCCCTTCCATCCAGAAAAAAATATGGTGTTATACCTCAAGACAGCATGTTAAATCCCATATACCAAAGAGTTATTGTACGAAAATTTCATCAATTTCATGGATTATCCCATGCTGGAATCAAATCAACAATAAAATTACTCTCTTCAAAATTTGGTCAAATATCAAAAAGGATGTTCAGCATTGGGTGAAATCTTGTATTCCATGTCAAAAATCTAAAACATCCTAGCATATGAAATCCATAACTGGCAGATACCAAAAGACATCAGAAAGATTTCAAGAAGTACACATTGATCTTGTTGGTCCATTACCACCATTAAATGGTAACACCTACTGTATAACATGTATAGATAGATACAAATTGGATGGAAGCTAGTCTACTCAAAAACATCTTGCAGAAACTGTAGCAAAAGCTTTCTATAGCAATTGGATAGAAAAATTTGGAATACCCTTGTATCTAATAACTGATTGAGACTCAATTTTCATCTGAAATATATCAAACCCTGTCAAGAATCTGTGGCATTAAGCTTTCAAACACTACAGCCTATCACCTGCAGTGCAACAGCAAGTTAGAACGGCTCCACCGATCAATAAAGGCTGCTTTAACAGCCCATAATAATAAAATATACCCTTGTATCTAATAACTGATTGAGAAACACAATTTTCATCTGAAATATTTCAAACCCTGTCAAGAATCTGTGGCATTAAGTTTTCAAACGCTACAGCCTATCACCTGCAGTGCAACGGCAAGTTAGAACGGCTTCACAAATCAATAAAGGCTGCTGGTGTCAAACATTACCAGCGGTTCTTTTAGGGATGGAATTACCAACAGTTCTTTTAGGTATGGTCTTTCCTACGAACTGCAATCCACAATGATACTAACTGTACTACAGCAGAAATGGTATATGGAGAAAATATTAAACTTCCTGGAGAATTCTTTGAACAGAAAATAAGTCACACACCACCCGGAATTTTTATACATACATATATATATATATATATATATATATGGAATTAATTCAACTGAAGGGAATACAATAGAAAGGCATCCCTAAATTATTTGTACGTAAAGATTTAGAATCAGCTTCTCATGTTTTTCTTCGCACTGACACAGTTCGGAAGCAACTCGAACCCCCATATGAAGATCCGTAATTGGTTATCAATCGTTCACTAAAATATTTTACTCTCAGGATAAAGAATAAAGAAGTAAATGTATCCATAAACAGACTGAAGCCAGCATATATTCTATCACAACAAATCCCTAAACAAGAGAAACTTAAGACTCCAAATTGTGTAAACAATGCTGATCAACCTTAAGTCAAATTAGCTTTAAACAATCCCAAACTGGTAGAATTCTTAAAACACTGCTGCGATTCAAAAACTGATATTTTATTTATATGTTAATTTTGTTATTATTTTGGTGATAAGCACCATTACTTCTTCCAATCTTTCTAACGTAACATTTGTTACTGGAAGGGGAGTGAATGTAACTGCATAAAATGTAAATAATTAGTTTAAAAGTAACACACAAATATTTTTATAATTATAAATGTTTACTTTGCATATTATTGTATTATCGTTTTTGGCAACAGTTTCTATCTTTGGAATTCAATTTGTTAAAATAACAGAAGATGAATTTTTGACTACTGAGTTGGTGAATAAAATTATATTTTGTGTTGATACGGTAATCGTTTTTATCTTTTTGTAATTTAATCAAACATCCTTGGAATTGTAAGATTTTGTCTGCATCTTATTACATTGTATCAAGTGAGGATTCATAACAGGTGTACTTATACACAGAGTTAATAAATAACTACTAGTTATTTGTTAGTTAAATAAATTTTCTCTTTACCACATATTATTTATTATTATTAATGTTATTATTGAAGTTTAAAATGACAGAAACTGAACAAAATGATACTTACAATAGCATAAGAAGTCATAAAAACAGTATCCAAAACACCTAAAAATAATGAAGCATCACTTGGATCTTTAAATAATTTATGACCATTCCAATTCTATAGGGATGAAAAACATATAACTTTAATACATTTTATTCATAATTAAAATGTAACATTAATTGAAAACTTATATCTTGCATTTTCTCTTATTATCTTAAATACTACTTTTAACAATGCAATTTTTTCTGAGATTTTAGTCACTATGATTAAAAATTTTTTTCACTGGTAGAATAGAATAAGAAACATCTGCAAAAATTTCTTATGGTAATGAGAAAGTTCAGAATTCTCGATGTTAAAGAATAAATCCCAGTTTAAATTTTTAAAAAGTGATACTGTGACTGAGTGAAAAGTTGGTGATTTAAACATTCCATATTCTAAATTTTTTATAAGTGTTCTAAATAAGCTTTAATTACTTTCCTTTCATGCTTCATGACAAATTTCTTTCTTTCAATTTCAAGACTAAATAATGCTCTGATGAATACAGCAGACACACATATAATCAGAAAAATCAGTATGTCTGAAAATCTACATCATCTTTCAACAGCACTTAATTCACTGTTTTCAGGTAACCCACCTCTTCTTTATTCATGTGAATAATGCCTAACAGAAAAGGCCTTTGCTTCTAATCCCAGCATTCAAACTAATGGTAATTCTAACCTATATGTAAATAGGGTTAATGCATAAAATAAAAGACTACTAAAATGGCTTAGTTAAAAATAAAAAAAGCTTTAAAAGTACCAAATATGGAAAAATTTTGTCAATTTGTTAACTTCAGATTTCCTACTTATATTTAAGAAATGAAAAATAAAATTATTAAGAAAGTCATTAAATCCAGATTCTAATGTATTTCACTTATTGAAAAATTTTAAATTTTCCTTCCATACATATTTCTAACATTAATTTTCTGCTTCAATTAAAGGATAAATACAGTGTTATGCAAAAACAAATGAAAATTATGATGTAATCACTAAAGAGTTCTAATCAATCCAGAAAAGTATATGAATATATTGCAATATCTTTACATAACAGAAAAACGAAATAGCTCCTCACATTTTATCAAACTTTAAAAAAAAAAAAAAATTTGTTAATACGGAATGTTCATGAAAATCAGTTTTAATTTCCTTTACAATTTCTGAAAAGAAATATTTTTAAAGAATATAAACTACTTTGATTATTTGCCCTCCCCCCATCAAAAAGTTATGAACTTTGCAGAGCATTCGCAAACTTATTTGCAATGTTTCTTTGAGTACCCTGATGTCTATTTCAATCATGCACCTAGTCTACTTTTTTACATTTTGCTTTTTTCCATAAAAGCAACACACACTTCTCAAAAGTAATTATGGTGATCGATGATTGTGTTCAGGGATAATCCCAGTTCTTCGTCACGGACTTTCACACATATATACACTGCTGGCCACCCAAATTGCAACACCATGAAAGACAAGAGATATCACAACAAAATTTATTTAGTAGATAACATGTTTACCAAGTATCAAATGATTAAATTTATACACTTCTGTGAAGTGTGGTTCCTTCCGGAATCAGTAGCCAGAGTAGCCGCCATTGTTGAGTATCATCGCTGCCACACGCCTCACCATTGATTCAAAGAGACTTTGGATGTGTTCTTGGGGTACAGCAAACCAAGCAGCTGCTATACGTTGCCAAAGTTGATCTAGTGTGGCAGCTTTGGATGTAATCTGAGTCAATCGTTCAGGAACCATGGACCACATGTTTTCTATCGGCGAAAGGTAAGGAGAGCGAGCCAGCCAGCCAGGGAAGCAATTCAATCTGGTGATTGATGAAGAACCCTTGGACAATGCATGCCACACGTGGTGGCACATTATCCTGTTGAAATATGGCTGTGGGCAAGCCCTGAAGGTAAGGAAGGACAACTGACTCTAACACCTCGAAGATGTAACGCTGGCTGTTTAAAGTGCCAGCAATGTGTACTAGAGGAGTGCAACAGTGATATCCAATACCGCCCCATAACCATAATACCCGGTGCAGAAACAATGTGGCGGTGCATAACGCAGCTGTTTAGCATCCTCTCTCCACAGTGTCTCCAGACTCAAATCCGACCATCGCGATGTTGCAGACAGAAATGTGATTCGTCAGTAAAGACAATTTCATTCCATTCTGCCGTCTACATCCTTCTTTCATCGCACCATTGGCAGCAGAAATGCCTGTGGTTATGCATCAAGGGAAAACGAAGCAATGGACGTCTTGCGGACCACTCTGCTGTAAACAGCGTCGAATGGTACGCGTAGACACTGGATGATGCGTTACAGACTGAATGTGCTGTGCTATGGTTCATGATGTGACTGAGCAAACCGTCACTGCCCTACACACAATGTTCCTGTCATCATGTCAAGTGGTGCACTGAGGTGGATGCAACCGAACACGTCGGTCCATCGTACCCTCTTGCATCCAACGTTCACATATCCGCATTACAATTGTTTGGTTTTGTCCAACATGACTACCAATTTCCCTGAAAGATAATCCACACTCTTGGTAGGCCACTATCCTTCCTCTGTCGAACTCAGATACTTGATCAAACGATAATCGCTGTTTACTACGAGGCATAATTGATCTTTTTTTTTTTTTTTTTTTTTTGACAAAACCACAAGAAAAACACAAATGCCGAACTTGAAATCGTCAAAAACTCCAAACCTTAAATAGCACTTTGAAGTGCCGCCACAGGCACTCAAGATGTGCGTCTGTGTTGAAATTCTAATCATTTGCATATTTCACCTCCGCTAATGCATGTTGTAAATTTCATGTTATTTGCATGCTTCCTTCACGGTGTTGCATTTATGGTGCCAGCAGTGTATATTCCTTTGTCCAACAATAAGTAAAATGAACAGCTATTGCAAGATTGGCTACCATCAAACCAGATTGTAAAGAAATGCTATTGTAGTGGCCCAGTTATTGCATGAGAAATAATTATTTTTTATTTCATATATTTGTTCATGTGTTTAATTATTTTATAAAATTAACTTTAATATTTTGTTAATATTCATATTTATATTTCTTTTATGCTGAATGGCAATCAGTAGTTCATATTTATATTTAAATTTCTTTATGCTGAATGGCAACTAGTTCTTTTTTATGATTGCTAGGTTTTGGTTTCAAAACGTTGCTGTGCAAGTAGCGTCGCATTTCGTTAGCTGGAAAATAAAAAGCAATAAACTTAGCCATTTGTTTATAATTCATGATGTTCCTAATCATAAATTAATTTTGAACATTAGTAGCCAATGCCACATCATGGTGACCCGGGTTAATTTTCGAAATATCGACATATGACTCGTCTGAAACTGCTATGAAAGATGCGATGCAGTCACTGGAGCTTCATAAGGTGAGTGTACAAATACCTCTTTTTTGGACTGATAAACCAGAAATATGGTTTTTTTCAAGTTGAAGCTCAATTCAGAATTAGTAATATCGTTTCAAAAGAAGCGAAATTTAATTATTTAGTTTTACAGCTTGAACCTAAGTTCGTCGAAAATATTTGGGACATTGTAACGAACGATAGTGCCACAAAATATTCGGATGCTAAAATTAGGTTATTACATTTATTTAAAGAAAGTGAAAATGTAGAGATTAAACGTTTGATTACTGGTATCGAACTTGGAGACATAAAACCAAGCCAACTTTTGCAGAAGTTGAGATCAGTTGCTACTACAGATGTGTCTGAAAAATCTAATCAAAACTTTATGCCTGGAGAAGCTACCTGACTCAATAAAAAATATATTATTAGTTAGTGATGAAGATGTATCCAAGTTAGTGTCTACGGCAGATAAAATTAGTGATATGAATCAGAAACCAGAAGTATTTAGTGCTAATGCTCCTTCCGTTCCCGCAAATGATTTGTTGCAAAGAATTACCTCTCTTGAACAAAAAGTTGATCAAATAACCATTCGCTCAAGACGCAGGGATTCGGATTTACGTAATTCACGTTCACGATCTCGAAGCCGATCTCGTAAACGATATGACCCTGCTGGCAAATTTTGTTCTTATCATTTTCGATTTGGAGCAAAATGTATTCCAGAGAAATGCCAGCCTCGGTGTGCTTGGGTAAAAAAAGGATTCCAAAAACCAGGAAAACTCGAATCTGCAGATGAAGGATTGTCGCAAATTTCGTTTATTCATTTGTGACCGAAGATCAAATTTGCACTTTCTTATTGATAGCGGAGCTGACATAAGCATAATTCCTGCTACTTCACAGGATAAATGTAAAACTGAATGCAAACTGTATGCAGCTAATGGCACAGATATTTCCACTTGTGACATAAAAACGCTAACTCTTGATTTGGGATCACGTCGTGATTTTCAGTTTCCATTCATAATTGCTGATGTCACAAAAGGTATTTTAGGAGCTGACTTTCTTCACAAATATAAATTAATTATCAATATAAATAAGAAAAAATTAATTGATGGCGTAACACAGCTTTGTGTCCAGTGTGATGTCGCTGCTATTTCCAGTGATTACTCAGTAACCACATTAAATAAATCCATAAAAATTTTCGATTTACTGTCGAAATATCCCGAAATTTCTAAACCTAATTAATTCCTACACAAAACTAAAACTAATTCCTACACAAATTAAACATGGTGTTACACATTTTATTACGACGATGGTCAACCCGTTTTTATTCAAAAGGCACGACAGCTCGATCCAAAACGCTTAAGCTATAGCTAAAGAGGAATTTAAATTTATGCTTGACAATGGAATTAATTCGTCCATCAAACTCCCAGTGGTCAAGCCCCTTGCACCCAACGACTTCATATAACAGTATATATCTCGTTGCTTGCACCTTGTTGCGAAAAAAGGATGGTTCATATTGTCCTTGCGGGGACTACCGACAACTGAATGAGCAGACGATACCCAATCGACACCCAATTCCTTGCATTGAAGATTTTCATCATATTTTAAGAGTTACAATTTTTTTTTTTTTTCCTAAAATTGATTTATTCAAAGCTTACTTTCAAATTCCCATTGCAGAAGAAGACAAATATAAAATGGCTATCATCACTATTAGTTTTCGAAAGATTACATA